GTGTCCTCAAAAGCTTCTGTGAAGCCAACTAGGATGGTGCAAGATTAATATTGATGGTTAAGAAGAATGACTTCTAGGCAAATTGGGGATGGTTGAGTTCTTAGAGATCATTGTGGTGATTGGTTAGGGAGATTTTCTGCCAATTTGGGGCAGGGACAAGTTATGGAGGTAGAGGTGTAGAGTTTTTATTTTGACCTTAAGCTTGCTTTAACAAAGGCGTATATAGGCTTATTATTAAGATGAATTCAGTGGGTGGTGTCAACTTGATTAAGCAAAATATGGCAAATGATTTTCATCCTCATTTTACAATTTTGAGTAGCTACTGAAATATGAAGGATCAGCTGGAGCGTCATCAGTTGGTTCATACTTTTCAACAAAATAATTTTTGTTGCTGTTCATTTAGCTAGCTCGAGCTACAATACGGACCTGGAGGTTTGTGCTTTTCATGATCCTCCTATGTGGATTGAGATGTTGTCGATGGATGATTGCTTAGGTTCTTCAAGGCTTATTTTGTCTGTTCGAATGTTGTTTCTTATTTCTTACATTTATAAGGTTAGGTATTCCATATGATCAACCTCTTCGAGTTCATTATTGATGTGTTTTCTCTCTATAACAAGGTGCTGCCGCAGGCGCAGCACCAGTTGAAGTTTTTGTTAGGGATCCATTAAATAGTTAATTCTGAAGAGATTGAATTAAAAGTCAATTAATCTTCCGGACATTGAGAATTCATTTGGATTTGAAATTAGCCACGGACTTCAAGGTTCATTGACCAAGACCTAAATGTGAGAAATTTTTCATTGTGTCTAGAACACGAATGGTACACCACGACTTGTTATATAAGTGGTGAGAAATGTTATTTTTTAAGTTGTTAATTTTTTAACACAGGTATCTTACTATTTATATAATGACACATAGTGTATTACCCCGTATTCCAGGTACACTGAAAAATCTCTCTTAAATGGCGAGAATTTAAGTTGTGAGACAACTTAAGTTCATTAAGTCCAAAAGAGGCTCATTGAATTCTCTTAGCCAATTATAGAGGGAAAAGAGATTGTTAAGTGTGTCGCTAGATCATCTCAAATAGGCTCTTTAAATAAGCTTTTAACAACCACTTAGTATTACGGTCTAGTGTTATTTTTCTTCACTTATAAGTAAGAAGTCTTAGGTTCGATTCTTTCCAAAAGAGAAATTGAGTCACATTATTGATAGCCCATTGTGAGGTTTAACCCGTTTTCCATCTCTCTTGGACACCCACTTTGCTTTTTTTGCACACCCGTATTTCTTATTATTTTATTTCATGTATTTAAACCCGAATTCTATAACATTTTTTTTTTTTGTACATCGATATTTTTTACACTAGAAGGAGTGGGAGTTCGACTAAGCCACACAATAGGTAGCCTAATTTGTTATCGAATTCGTTATCCACGAAATTCGAGCCTAAGATCTCTTATTTCCATGTGAAGAAGAATACCACCATACCGTAGTATTGAATGGTTAATCCCAACAATAATTAGCAATAACTTTTTGCACCTAATTCGCTCCCAGCTCGTAACATGTGTTTACATCTCTCTGTCTATTGTTTTAATTCCTTTTTTAAGTTAGCTTCAATAGGTTTTTAAAACTAAAAGTTGAAATCAACGTTGAAGAGATAGACAAGGATTTGGATCCTCTCCTGAGCTCAGCATCCTGAGCCTGCTGAGCAAATCACATGGGCCATTGGAGTTTGATTCAACGGCTACAAACAGAATGCCCCTCTAAAAGTTATAATAATTGTAGTTGTTGGATCAAAATACAACGGTTCATGTGATTTGTTCAACAGGCTCAGGATGCTGGGCTTAGGAGAGGATCCAAATCCAATATACAAAAGGTGAGTGAAGTTGAACTCAACGTTGTACTTGATGAACACAGTTCTTTGTATAAAAATCCTAGTGGCTGTTCAATTTGGCTATATAGGAATTAAGTTGGGTGTAGTCAAATTAGGATTTCAATTGATTTTTAAGTTATTGGATTTCATAGGATTATGGACTTCTATCAAATATATATGGATTTTGAAAGGTTTGAGAAGATTCGTATAACAAATTTTTAATAATTTAATAGACTTATGCAGCGTTAAATCTTGGCCATCTAATAGATCAAATGATGATAAATGTGTCTAGGTCATAAATCTAACCAAATGGAGCTGCAATTGGTTCATGCTCAAGAGTTGCGTCCCCTTCTCCAGATGGAACAACTTGGTGAAGCAAGAGTCAGCTTGAGTGGGGCGTGGTGGAGATGAGATTCTTTTTAACCTTTTTTATACATGAAATTCACTCTCAAATCCTACTAAATCTGTTACTCAATGAAGCCAAGCGCAACTCATTGCAAAAGCTATTGCTTTAAAGGAAGGGCTTTTGTTTGCCAAGTGCAAATGTGTGAAGATGCTAATGGTGAAAGGGGATTCTAAGCAAGTCGTCCAGATGGTGCCAGATGTTTGGATGCCTCCTTAGCATCTTAAACCTATCATAGAGGATATAAAATGGTTGGCTTCTAAGTTTCAACACATCAGTTGGAAGCATATTTATAGGGAGTCTAATTTTGTGATGGACACATTAGCTCATTTGGGCCTCAGTGTTGACAACCTTTATTTTTGGGATTATTGTCTTCCGTTTTTGGCTATAGAGGCCTTTAATTTTTTTTGTATTGAAAACGGTTGTATTAAAGGTTTTAAGCTTTAATAAATTTCTTCTTTATCAAAAATAAAAAAATTAAAAAAATTAAACCTTACAAAATCTATGACATTGTGAACACCTACGGATTTGCATGGACTCTTTTTAATCCTAATTGACTACATTTTGATTTAGACGATTTTTTTTAAAATCCTGTTAAATCCTACTTTGACTACAGCATGATTTCAAAGTCTTTTAACACTCTATTGACTACACCCTAATTAGAAACTTAATTGACTACACCTCCTAAGATTATATTAAAAAGTCTAGTAAGTCTTTTATAGTAATTGTACATATGAGTGTATGTATTATTTTTCATTAAATGAAACTGAAGGGTGTCCATAGTAAAAGGTTGGTGTATACATAATTAATTAAAAATTTAATCATCACGAAGTGATTCAGTGGTTAGAGACGAATTTCACGTTTGTAATCCACACAACACGTCATGGGTTCGATTCCTAGTACTGGTGAATAACATGATGATGGTCAGGAAATAGTTGAAATGCCTCTGTAAGTCTTTCCGACCCCGAAAGAATGAAATGCCATGACGAAGCCATTATTATCTGATCCCTTTTTAAAAAATAGAAAAGCTACCTTCTCCTTTTAGCTTTCCCAACTTGCCTTCCCCATTCATTAGTTGACATGTGAACTCTACCACTAGTTAAAGCTCAATAATTAATGTGTTAAAATATTAATTATTTAGTTCCCATATGCCTTTCATTATATACCAATTTTTAACTTGCACTCAATACTTTCTTTAAATTATATAATTTTCACCGGAGCCATCCTCCTTCCTAGGGATGACAATTATAATTGTTAAAACCAATAACCATGGATAACCGTCCGAATGTATTAGATTTGGGTATGAAAATTCGGGTATATTTTGGTTATGGGGAAAAACCGTAAATAATATTTGGTTATGGTTTTGGATATGGTTATAGCCGTCCTCATCTTAAATCTTACTACCAAGGCCGGACTTACAAGTGAATTAGCTAGCAACCAATTCAGTTGTAAATAATTCTATTCTTCACATCAACCTTACGGTGTTGAAACTTAGAGGTTTTGTATTTTTGTAACATATGGAGAACTTGCTCAACCATCAAAGGGGATCAAGGGAAGGAGTTTTCAAGGTGCCATTCAAGGAGAAGATCAAGCCCTTCCTCTAGGGTGATACACTTTTTCAAAACGAAAGTAGTAGTGCTTCAAGATATTGAATCCAAATCTCTATGTTTTGTCTTTAGGGTGAACCCGCGAGCTTAGCCATCAACCGGCCTTTTCTTGGCGAAGCCCACTGTCGTCACCACCACCAAAGTGAAGCATGCGGTCCCCCAAAAAAAAAACCTTATGAAGCACAGATATGGGAACGAGAGCAAGACTTTGGGAGAGGGGCGAAGCATTTCGTGAACCCTAATTTGGAAATGTCAGGGATTCCCCCCGATCGTCAAACCACTGCAAGTCGCGAGGCGTGGACTAATAATTGTAGCATGTTCCAATGTCAATGAGCGGCCCTCTATATTATGAACTTACTTCTATGATTGTTTTTCCAAATTCAAATGTTTGATCGAAAAAATTGTAATTGACCGTCGTTCCATTTTGTGAACAATGGCAACACAATGGTTGGATTGTCATAAAGTTTAAATAGAGGTATTTGAACTTTAATACTTGGAAAAAAAAAGATTTAATTAAAATTTGGTATTAGATTACATATTTATTTAGTTTTTTTTTAGTACGTACAACGATATATTTTACACTAAGGGAAGGGGGGAGTTCGGCTAAGCCACACAATTAACAACTTAATTTGGTATCGAATTCGCCATCCACGAGATTCGAACCTAAGACTTCTCACTTACAAGTGAAGAAGTACCACCAGACCGTAGTACAGAGTGACATACTTATTTAGTTATTAGATGTGTGCTTTTAATTCAAATTCCAATTCATATTCTATTTTTGTTATAATGTTTAATGTGTATAATATTCAATATCTCCCATTAAATATTTGAATTTGTTAATATACATATTTGAATTTATTAATTTTGTTTAACTTCCTCCAATTATATCCTTATAAATGTACATAAATGAGAAAACATTGAAAAAAATAAATAATGACACATAAGAAACATGTAAATGTATAAGTGTACCGAAAATATACTAAAAGGAATTGATGTACCTAAATGTTTGTATTGAAATATAAGATGTACCTAAATGTCTGTACCAAAATGTAACATATTAAATTAAGGTACTTAAATGTCTGTATGGAAATGACTATACTAAAATATATTAAATGAATTAATATACCTTGGTTATGTCACTTTCTAGGTTAAGCTGTAGGCCAGGCTCGAATAAAGGGCCTCCACCTCCTCAAGTAATTTGTTGGTTAAGCTGCATACTGCAATTATATATATTCATGTGTTATCTTTGAAGAAAATATATGTGCCTAATATCAAGCATATATACCATACTACTTCTACTATATATCAAATATAATATGAGCAAAAGTGCTTTTGTTCTGTCATTCAAACAGAAAAAAACCCCTCATCCGCTTGTCATGTATTAATATTTTTCTCATCAATTTGCCACTTTCAACTACTACTAATTCTTTTGTAACATTGCAATTGCGATACATTGTCATATGAAATCATCTCCAATATCATATTTGGTATAAGCCATACTATAATAAGGTCTTCTTAGTTGTTTTTCAGGTTGCCCGCACTAGAAGAAATCTAGTTTCGTCCCTGACCTAAATGTTTGTACCGAAACATATTATAATGAATTAATGTACCTAAATGTTTGTACGAAAATGTTTGTGCTAAATAATATTATATTGAATTAATGTACTTAAATGCCTCCATCGAAATGGACATACCAAAATGTATTAACATACCTAAATGAATAACATGAAGTGTATTGGGATATTATATAAATGAAATTACTGTAACAAAATAAAATATCAGAATATTATTTGTGGAACCCCCAGATGTTATTGGGATATTATTCCTCATTCTTATAATGGAGTGGCACTCGGCCTCGCCAAGTTAAGTTTGCATAATTGTTCTGATGTAGTTTTGTTTGAGGAACCCCCAGATGTTGTTTGGCAAGTTCTCAACCAAGATATGTTACTCCCTTGAGTTTATGAATAAAAGCAATCGTATTCAAAAAAGAATATAATTAAATGTAGTTAATATTAACATTAGGAAAAAAAAAACATGAAAATATAATTATGAGGTTATTAAATGTGTTAAGGAACTAAATTAGATTTTAATCTTAAGCTAGAATTTAGTTTAAAAGTCATATTTTTTAAGAACTAAAACTCAGTTTTCTATTTTAAATATGTTATTGTTGGTGCTTTATGTGACTTGCATAAACTTTAAAACTTACATTTGTGAACGTGAAGTTTGTCGACTTCAGATCAAAGATTTTAGGGTTCCAAAGGGTTGACTTTCCCATCAATGTTCACCATAGCACGCTATCAATATCATAGCCAATGTATACGACTTAGACTTGACAGTTGTTCGACTTGAATCTCAACTTGACTGGTAAAGCAATAATTTGGGTTAAACAAAACGGGCAAATCTGCACACACAGCTAAAAAACCGATAAAGAGCAGAGGAAGAGAATAAAAACAAGGAAAAATCAAAAGACGTACCATATACCTTATCTCTCTATATTCCATTGCTTACATAACGCCGAAGCACAATCGGTTGGTATATATGAAGCTGAACAAAATATGTTTGCCTTTTTTTTTTCTTTTCAAATAAAACCGAGCGACAAGAAGTTGAAATTGGCAGAAAATGAAATCAGGAAACACAGGAAAGCAACGAAATTGATTTTTCACTTTTGGAAGTAAAGCAAAGTAGATTAAGCTAAAGAAGGTTGCTGTGATGAAGAAACCAAAACGAGACAAGTGTATGTAATAAGAAGATCGGAGCAAATAATGAGAAATGGATGGGAAGAAAAGCTCTCTCAGCAGAAGAAGATGAGATAATGAATGCATGAGAGAGAGAACGTGGTAGCATAGAGAAGCCCAACGTTGTATGCAATTAAAAAAGACCAAGGTTTAGAAAATGGCTGTATTAGTTGACGTATCGAGAAATGTGACAAAGAACGTGGTACGATAGAGAAGCCCAATGTAGTCTGCAATTGAAAAAGACTAAATGAGGACTTATTCTGGCAGGCATTTCCTACTTCCTAGGTAAGAAAATGGCTGTATTAGTTGGCGTATTGAGAAATGTGAGAGAGAACGTGGTACCATAGAGAAGACAACGTTGGGAGAGATTTTTCAAACCATGAAACCTGGAAATCTGTACAAAAGTTCTCATTCCATCTCTCAAATTATGGAGAAATTTTTAATTGTGACGAGAATATGGTACACCACGTGTTTTTATGTAAGTGGTGAAAAATTTTAATTTTTATGTTATTAACTTTTTAATACACATAACCCACTATTTATACAAGAACACGTGGTGTATCACCTCGTGTAATGGTTACACTGAAAAATCTTTCCAAATCATGAAAGGGTCGTGGCTCCAAAGTTACAAAAACTCCATTAAAAACTCATCAACCAAACTCACTAATTCATAATCCACAAAATATATATACAATTATTCACAAATTTCCGATGGAAAAATTTTGAGGAAAAAAAGGTGTAGGGAGAAACCCACAGAAAAATTAATAATTTTGGAAAAGAGAGAGACAAATTCAAATTGTAGATTTACCCCGGACTTTTTTCAATTTCAAAATTCAAATCTTGGGTTGTTTCTTTTGTTTACAGATTCAAATCCTGGGTTTGCCCAGTATAGTTTGATGGATATTTGAAAATAGACAACCATGGTTACCAATTCTTAGGGCTGGTTTGGTATTGATGTGCTTTGAAAAAAAAGCTGTTGTGAGAAATAAGCGGCTATGAAATAAATCAGTAGAGTGTTTGGTAAACTTTTTTGTAAAAGTGCTTTTGGAAAAAAAAAAAAAGCAATCTGATAGTGGGTCTTTTCATTAAAGGAGCACTGTAGCTCCGTGTGCTTTGAAAAAAAAAAAAACCAGTTTTCCAAAGCTGCAAATAGTAGCTTCAGCTTTTTCCTTTGATTTCAGCTTATTCTCACAGCAGCTTCCAAAATAAGCCATTTTTTTAGTTTACCAAACACCTAAAACCCTCACAGCTTTTTTTCATGGATGCTTTTTTTTAAGCACCTCACTCCTAAACCACCCCTTAGTGTGAGAGAGTAGAGCTGTAAATTTTGGAGAGAAGAGAGTAAGGCTTTTACAATGCTTTTGGCTTCATCGGGAATATGAAAGGGTGAAGAACAGCAAGTGGAGAGAAATATAATTTTAAATTACTATTTTCTTAAGTTATATTAACAGTGGGACTCAAGGCGTGCTGGGCAAGTCCGACTGGACTCTCTTTTGGTGCGAGTCCCACTAGCATTTGGGGCGAGTCCGGCTAACATTCTCCTTGATCTAAAGTCTACGGACTTCAACTTCACAAACTTAAGTAATATGGTATAAGTTACGTTAATCAACACTTAATAATTCAATCATCAACAATCACATAATATAGTTTATAAAATATGATTTAAATAGATAATTTCCCTAACAATATGGTACCTTAACACAAGGTGAATGTTCTTCATGAAGAAAACCTCACAATAAGACCAAAGCCTCCAAAATGGTTCTTTTTCCCAACTTTGCAGTACTAAAATTTAGAACCTCTATTTTACTATATCTCCAAAAATTGTTTACCAACAACAACAACAAAGCATTTTCCCATTAAGTGGGATCGGCTGTATGAATTTTAGAACGTCATTCCGCTCGGTTCTGTACCACGTCTTCCGTTAGATCCAAGTACTCTTCAGTCTTTTCTTAGAGTCTTTTCCAAAGTCTTCCTTTACCCCTTTGGCCCTGAACCTCTGTCCCGTAATCGCATATTATAACTGGAGCGTCAATAGGCTTTCGTTTCACATGTTTAAACCACCGTAACTGATTTTCTCTCATCTTTCCTTCAATTTCGGCTACTCCTACTTTACCTCTAATATCCTCATTCCTAATCTTATCCTTTCTTATGTGCCCATATATCCAACGAAACATTCTCATCTCGGCTACACCTATTTTATGTACATGTTAATGCTTCACTGCCCAACATTCCATGCCATAAAGCATTGTTGACTTTATTGTTGTCCTATAAAATTGTTTACCAAAAAGAAAAAAGATGTTCGACATAGGCTCAAACGCATTAGACTCTTAAAAGGATATTGTCGATGGACTTAGATTCTTTAATTGGCCACAATAGTACACGCTTAACTCATTCAAGTACGGAAAAACTGGATCATCAGCTAGAAAGGAGTTCTCATTCCCTAGATGCATCAGCTCCGGCATTTCACGGAGCCACAAAGTCTTTACATGTGGAAGGGTCCCAACTGCTTGTATTTCCCAACTAGTATTTCCTTCTTGGGCAAATATTTATTTCCAAGGTGCGGAACACAAAAAGAGTGTTTTAAGCTTTTGTAATTTTTGAAGGAAAATAAATATCTGAGGTGTGCTGCCGGAGAAAAAGTTAAAGATGGTAGTTTGCTAAAGAAGTCCACTGGCAATGGACCATACAGTTTGTTGATGCACAAAACCGGAAGGTCTTGGAATAACGTAAATTCGACCGTGAATCTGTAAGAAAGTAAAGAACACAAGATGTATCGTGGTTTACCCCAATGTTTGGGCTACGTCCACACTGATGTTGATCGTATTTCTCTGTAACTGTATGTATGGATTACAAGTGTGAGGGGGAGTCCCACAGAGAAAGAGAGAGTTTGAGAGAGTTTCTCTGATTTGTGAGCCTTGTGGCTTCTGTATGTGAGGATGAGACCTCTTCATTGTGAGGGTGAGGAGACCCTTTTATAGACTAAAGGCTCCTCCCCTTTTACATGAATCATGGGTTCAATGTCTGGAAGCCCAAGTAACGAGGCCCAATATAATATGATACCAACAGTAATCCCCCAAGTCATCAGTCAAGAGAGTCTTTTGGCTGGAGACTTTGAAATTCAGTCTATGTGTGGGCCGAAGTAACCAGTTGTCGTCTAGAATTGATACTTGATATGGGGCGGTGCTCAATGTGAAATGATGCTCAACTAGAAGTAGCACATGTTGCGAGGCCGCTCAGCTTGTGGCTTATGTTGCCTTGGTTGGCTTGGCTTGTGGCGTTGAAGGTGAGGGAGTCCCTTTTTAGAATAAGGGCTTGCTCCTCAATACATAAATGATGGGCTAGAGTTGATGTTCACGGCGAGGCGGTTGCTCAGCAGGCGACGATGCTCCCTAATGATGGTGAGGGAGTCCCTTTTATAGAATAAGAGCTCGCTCATCAATACATAAATGATGGGCTAGCGTTGATGCTCACGGCGAGGCGGTTGCTCAGCAGGCGGCGATGCTCTCTAATGATGGTAAGGGAGTCCCTTTTATAGAATAAGGGATCGCTCCTCAATACATAAGTGATGGGTTAGGAGTGATGCTCGCGGTGAGGCGGTTGCTCAGCTGGCGGCGATGCTATCTAATGAAGGTAAGGAAGTACCTTTTATAAAATAAGGGTTCGCACTTCAATACATGAATAATGGATGCTCTCTAATGAAAATGAGGGAGTCCCTTTTATAGAATAAGGGTTCGCTCCTCAATACATAAATGATGGGCTAAGTCCCCCAAGAGTATTTTTCATGAGGCCCAGTTGCGGAAGCCTAATATTTGGTACATAGTGTAGTCCTCCAAGTCTTCAGTCAATAGAGTCTGTTGGCTGGAGATTTCAAATTCAATCCATGTATGGGCCGAAGTGGAGGTTGTTTGGAGGCAGTCTTTGTATACCGTGCACTGAAGCTTGTAGGTGAAGCTTTGAAAGTGAAGCTTTGAAGCTGGAGCTTTTGTAAATAAAGTTTTTGAAGTCAGAGCTTTGTAAATGAAGCTTTCTAAGCTGGAGCTTTGTACATGAAGCTTTCGAAGCTGATTGACATGATTGATGCTCATGAATGTTTATGTTGATTGACATGAGTGATGCTCATGGATGTTGACATGAGTGATGCTCATGAATGTTTATTTATGATTGACATGAGTGATGCTCATGAATGTTTATGTATGATTGACATGAGTGATGCTCATGTATAATTTTGGAGTATTGGACGTACTTTTGATCACCTGGTTGGTGATAATAGCGGCATGCTGTCGAATAATTTTGAAGTACTGGACGTACTTTTGATCACCTGGTTGGTGATAATAGAGGATGAACCTTAAGTAGAGGGATGGAGGTTGGAGTTTGAAGTCATAGGGCTTGGCTCTTTTGGGCATATGGGTCTTCGCCCTCCACATAGCATTCCAGCCCACTATTTTGGGCTTGCCGACATTTTGCCCATGTTTTTTTTTTTTTTTTTGTGGTGGATGGTAGACAAAAGGAATAATAATAGACTTATTATTGAGAAAGCTTATCTTCTTCTTCGTTGCTTTTCCTCTTCCGCTTGTTGGTTGTAAAGGTCAGTATACTCCAGCTGTAAAAGGGCAATATTCATTTCTCTAAAGTGACAGCTGCTTGGACAACCTTTCCGACACCACCCATTTTCTTTTCTTGATCTCCCCGCTCTAATAGAACTCACCCCTCTCTGACTCATCCCTTTCTGACCCTGCTTCATTTTCTAAGCACATATAATAAGCTATGACTCTTTCTCGTGAGTGTTTGTTCAGTGGGATACTTTTGCATGTTATCCCGTGGGTTTTCTTTTTTTAGTGGGATAGTGGATGTCTTATCTTTGTAGATTTTGCATGCCTGCTTTACAGCAAACACATCTTTAGCTTTTCCATATCGTCCACCTTCAAATCAACAACAAATTAGTCTCTTTAAAAACACCCACTTGCTCCTTTTCCTGTAGCTTTTTTCAAAAAAAAAAAATAGGCATGGGGTCATGCACAAAGCCCTGGCATGCCATCACGGGGCCACAAAGCTCCATAGTTGTTGCCAAAGAGTTCATCATTTTCCAACTTCTCATAAGCATCAGCTTTGAGGGGGATCCACCCGTAAATGGCCTCGCCGGCGGCGGCGCTGAGCTAAGAGGGCCAGCCGGCGAAGACTTGCTCAGCCTTCAAAGAAGAACGACTTGAAAAACCCAATCTGAAGCTAAAGGCACTACCTTTCCTGCCATTGTGACTATTATGGCTGTGATAAGACCCCTCATTCTCCTTCCTACTCTTCTTCGACTCTCTGCCGCCGACGACGTTCCGATCCTCTGACACGTCGCCCGGACGATGATTCTGATTCTGTGGTTCCCTTTTGCTACCACTCTTCTTAAATTCCGAAGAGTTCGATTTGGACTTTGGTTTGGATTTGGATCGGCTAACATTGTTGTTGTTGCTGGCAGCGGAAGCGGAGTTGTTCTTTTTTAAGGAGGACGGAGCCATTGCCGGCGACGGTGGCCAGGTACTCGTAACAAGGAGACGCCGAGGCAGCCACCCGTTTGGAGCTGATGCAACCCATTTATCGCCACCATCAAATCCCGCCAGCATCGATCGATCGGAGAATGTGGGGGGATATCGCCATCTGTGGTGGCGTCGGTCAAACCGAGGTATTGGCCGTGAATGGTCACCGGAATGGTCATATCCGGCGCGATGAGGAATGCCAGGCCCTCGCCAGAAATGGCAGAACTGAGCGGTTGTTGAGGGTGAAGTTTTCGGCTGAGTCCGGCGTGATCTGGAGTGCATCGTTGCTGATCGTCACCAGCTGGAGCACTGCGAACTTGCTGTAAAAAAGAAAGAATCTTTGGGGCTCTTTTATGAGCAGACCAAAAGAGAGAGAGAGAATGGGATTGGCGGCATTCCTGGGTTTGGTTGAGGAGGTACGGATATTTGGTGGTATGTCAGGTAAGAGGAGCCAAAAGCCGTTGGATTGGGTTGTGGAGGTTTTTCAGAAAAGCCCAAGGAGGGATGTTCTAGGTTCTTGGGTTGTATAGATTCACAGTGGTGAGATGAAAAAAATGAAAGAGAACCAACGTAGCTTTTCATGTCGATTCCCACAGATGGCGTCAAATGTTGATGCACAAAATCGGAAGGTCTTGGAACAACGTAAATTTGACCGTGAATCTGCAAGAAAGTAAAGAACACAAGATGTACCGTGGTTCACCCCAATGTTTGGGCTACGTCTACACTGATGTTGATCGTATTTCTCTATAACTGTATGTATGGATTACAAGTGTGAGGGGGAGTCCCCCAGAGAAAGAGAGAGTTTGAGAGAGTTTCTCTGTTTTGTGAGCCTTGTTGCTTTTGTATGTGAGGATAAGACCTCTTCATTGTGAGGGTGAGGAGACCCTTTTATAGACTAAGAGCTCCTCCCCTTTTACATGAATCATGGGCTCAATGTCTGGAAACCTAAGTAACGAGACCCAATATAATATGGTACCAACACGGTTCATAGAAAATTTGTGTTGTGGTCCACGAAACAAAATGTAACATAAAATCAAATGTACCTATATTATAAGTAATCAAACGTACCAATATAATCATACAATTAAACATACCTCTAATAAAATCGTAAGAAAAATGTTTAATCAAATTCTTAAAAGGAACATATATTTAATCAACGAAGTTGAAAAATAAGACGCCTATACCAAATAATATTTGGATACATATAGAACTGTCATCTCTCTAATAACAGTAAGCCCTACAATTGTAAATGCGCAACACGCCTATATTGAAGGATATATGCCAACAAACTTGTTAGGTTGGTACGAACATCTCCAAGAGACTAATCATATTTTTGTTATTTTTAACACAATTATTGGCGAATTATAAATGCTCTTTTCAACCTCAATCTACCGTTTGCATTCAACCGAGATGCCTTGAAACTTTTGAAAAAGAGGACAAATAATCCTTTTAATGAATTTTTTTTTATAAAATTAGTTTTTTCAAAGAAAATGTATTGAAGGGAATTTCGCTTAAGAAAATTGTGTACAAGCATCTTACCCTGTCAACAAAATAGAAAGGTAGTTTGACAGGTGTATAGAGGCTCAACTGATCAAGCTTTTCGTGGAATCTTGAAATTTCAGAAGCAAAAATCTCTATATTACCACATTCGATGAAATTTAGTTGCTTTAGTAATAGCCACTTGGAAACATGCAGGACAGGAGAAAAACTCCTATGTTCTGGTAGATTTTCAAATCTCACATATGCAACATTTGGTGTGATACCCTACATTTGTATTTTAATTATTGGACTCGACTATACAACGATTAATGTTTAAACTTTGTAATTCAATCTATGATCAAAGTGATTACTCTTAATCTTTATAGTTGAAAGATTTACCAAAGTGTCATTTTGATTATAGCCATGGTGAGTTTCTTGATACTCATTGTAGGACCAAAATATATAATAGATAAATAAAATATGGGGAACTTTAACGAAAAACTTCCGATACTGTTTACTTTAACGAAAAACCACATTTTTATATTAAAAAGTCAAACCTTGTACTATTCACTTTACCATTTTTTATGTCCTTATAATTAAAACTCAAAATTTTTAATTCATTTTCATTAGTTATTCTCTTCACTAATTCCCTCGGGCTCTCTCTCTCAAAATTAAAAAAAACAACCATGGAGGCCCGGGAGTCGAAGACGCGGCATCGGTGATCAACTCCGCCAACACTCCGCCGCCGCAGTTTGTGAACAAAATCTGCGATATGGTGGAAGACCCCTCCACCGACGCCTTTGTCTCCCTCCTGGAGCAACGGCAACAACAGCTTCGGCGTCTGGAACGTCCCTGAGTTCTCGAGGGACATCCTGCCCAAGTATTTCAAGCACAGAAAATTCTCTAGCTTCGTCAGGCAGTTGAATGCTTATGTGGGTATTTCTTCCCTTTCCTAAATTTTGATTCGTTCTTGCTTTTTCTGCATTTGATTGTTGTTTTGGCGGTAATTCCGGTCGGAACTGTGAAATTTGGAGTAGTTACGCGGGATCAATGTTCAGTTAGGTTTTGCAATTGTTATTTTGGCATGAGGGTTATCGAATTTGAGGTTGTAAATCAGTAAATTGTGAAGATAAATTATGTTTGTTGAATTGGATAGTTCGTCATTCATTGGGTTCCTTTAGGTCTAGTCGATCATAAAAATGATTTGAATTTGTGTTGTTTGTTCCGAACCAGGTGAAAAGGTGGAAGGAAAAAGGACATTAAGAGGTCAGAACTACATTGAGATATAAAATTTGAGCCGACTACTTTTGTGCAAATTGCCTTGTTTTACGTGCTTCTTGGATAAATTTGTTCCATTGCATTGCATTACTCTGAAAAGAAAGGGGCAAGCAAAACCTACTCCTAACAAGTTGCTGGCTTTTCAGCCGTGCAAGTTGTGCTTATTATGCTGTGAGGGAAGATCTTTTACATTGATGAAGATATTTTCTGAAACTGATTGGTCGATGTTTTCTCAAAAATTTCAGTTGAAATGCCAATTGTAGTGATTGTCATTGTCATATCAGCAATGTGTCTAGATTATTCAATGTGCCCATCATACTTGGTGGCACAAGGATGTTCATTACTCTGGCATCTGTATACTTTGACTTTATTTCTTCCCTCGATCAGACCTTCACCCTCCAAGCTTGATGAAACATTAGGTGAAATCAGTCCAAGTCCAGAGAAACCACTCAAATCCAAGGTCGTGCATTCTAACAATTTGATCAACATAACCGTCTTTGAACCAAGGAACGAAATGCATTTCGTGCCTCTTCCAAAGTATCGACATTTGTAACCAACTATAAACTTATAATATATTTCAACTTAAGCTCCTCATCCAATTGATTGCAACTCCACTCTAGACTCAAGTATGTTGTCTCTGTCAAACCTTTTCTCTCAAGACTGGAATGAAACATCAAATGCATTTATAATGTTCCCGGTAAGTTGGTTCCCATCAAACCGGATTCTAGACAATGCCCAACAATTCCTCAAGCACTCGGGCAAATACCCAATTAGATTGTTATTGTTCACTTTGAAACTTGCAAAGCGAATCCGCTACACTACTCCGGTGCTCAAAACCGATTGAAGAGTTTAAGGAATTCTCACCAAGGTCAAGGTAGTGAAGCTTCCCGAGTTCGCCTATTTCGATGAAATTTTCCCTTCGAGGGAATTTTGAGATGGGTCAACATGTTGCATGCAGTCCAGACATTAAACCAATATCTTAAGGGATTAGGCCACTAATGTATATTGGTCCTTGGTAGACTTTGAAAAGTCTCATCTTTTTTTTCTTGGTTATTTTCACCTTAATCTGTATTTGTCCTGTTGTGCGTTTGGTTCAAGTATGTCTCCTTATTGTCTCGTTTGTTGTCATCTGTGAGGATGGTTTGTTATTGTTTGCGAGATGTTTTGCAGGATTCATAGATAATAGATTTGGTATGGGCTGCCGTGCGTGTAACTCTGTAAAGACTACTCTCTTCCTTTCATTTAAAATGGTATATCGATTATTTATGTTGATTGTTGTTGTAGAGCCGAAGAAATTCTCTGTTTTTGCCATGGCTGCTGAGGGTATTTCCCCCCCCCCCCCCCCCCCCCACATATTTTATGTCTTTCTTTTGTTCATCTGCGGCTTTCATGCTGAATTATTGCTCTTTGAATTGTTTTGAGGATAACCAATTGCTCAAATTGTTCAAATTTTGGATTTCAGTGACCTTTCATGTGCATTTTTGGTTTGGTTCTTAATTGAAATGAATCGAATTGAATATTTGTAACTAAAATAATTTATTTTTAAAATTGTTCAAATTTGGTAATTTAGTGTGCTTTTATATGCGGTTCTGGTTTGGTTCCTATTTGAAATGAATTGAATCGAATAAAATATTCTTCGAGCCTTTATGCGCATTTCTGGTTTAGTCCATTATTCTAGCACATACAATATTTATAATTCTTCACCACTTCAAATACATCAATGTTTACAGAAATCACACAAGCATTATTTCCCAAACACCAAAACCGAAAATGTAGCGAATAAAGCTCCAAATACAAATCACACTATTACGACGAAACACACAAGTCAATACAAGCATAACATGTCGGGGAATATGATTCAGTGCCTTCTCAAATTGCACAGAGAATAGTTAGAGCAAGTAACAAGGAAAATCAGAGTGCCTTCCAGTCTGCTCTCCAGGCTAATATTTCTCTTTTGAAAAGGAAAAACAAAAGGAAGAGGACAATAACGAACAAACACGCAATCGCACACAATCGGAAAACATTAACACGCCAGGCAAAAGATGAGGATTCCTTTTTGGCAGAGAGTCCTGCAATTGTAACATCTACATTTGAATCTGCAATCATCAGCTGTTCCTGTAGAAATATATATTTCGTTGACGAAATAAACACATAAATCGCTCAGTATGAAATCTGATTGAAAAAGCTGAAAAATTTTACGTTTCAAGGTTCAGAAAAAGCTGAAAAATTGGAGAGTGAAATTATTAGTTGTTTAATTAGTGAATGAAGTACTTACAGTTTGATCACGATCATTCTCCTTTGAATAACTTGGCATCAGTACGTCATCAGTTTCTTCTGTTATTTGTTGTCTTTCTGGTGCTAGATCACTTTGGAGTAACCCATCAGAAGAAATCTTTAAATCAATCAGCTGGCAGTCCTCGACAATCAAAGTTTCCAAGGATGGGACTTTGAAAATGCAATTTCCCCTGCAAAAGCCTTGCAGACTTGGTAGACTAGAAAGCTTCAACTGTTGCAAGCAACTGAAAGTAATCTCATTCTCTGGATCATCTTCCTTGCTCGCTACTATTTCTACCATTCTTTGACAGGACTCAACTTCCAACTTCTTGAGTTGCTGCAAATTCTTAGCCACAGAATAAGGTATTAAGTATTTCAGTCCGTGACAATCTCCTATGGTGAAAGCGGTTAGATTCCGAAAGGATATTAAAGTAAAAGCTAGATTCTCTAATCTGCCACATTTGTGCACGCATAGAATTTCCAAGTTTGGAAAAACAGGGCCCCCAGGTTGGGAGTTTTCCATCCCTAGATGTATCAGCTCCGGCATATCGATGAGCCACAAAACCTTTACACGTGGGAGGGTCTCAACTTCATGTGTTTCCCCTCTACTACTTCCTTGTGTCACGGGATGACTCTTTAAGCCTTCCGCCCGTGCGGCACTTAGACTTGAATACCTCGATGAACAAGCTAAGTAAGCCTTCGAAGCCTCGCTTCCCCGGATCGAATCACAAAGAAAGCTAAGATACCTTGGAGAATGCTAAGATCACTTAGAAGATGGGAGAAAGGAAGCTTTGTATTGAAAGTTAAGAGAACTTTACAATTGCTTACAATTCTTGGATTCTTGGATGGTTTGGCCAAATGGCCTTACCTCCTATTTATAGGCCTAAGTCACCTCCTCAATGGAGGGTTCTAGAATCCCCTACTTACATCCAAAAATATCTAGCATAGTTCTAGATACAACTTGCCTAATCTAGATTATTCTAGGTGAGGCTTAAATATGTACACTTGTGTGGAATGTTCCGGAATGCCCTAGATTATCTTGAATGCTCCGCCACGTTCTTGATTTCTCCGGGACGTTCCAGAAGCTTCCATGAAGACATGGCTTCATGGGCTTAGATATATGATGTCTTGGGCATTTTCTTTGTTTTTAACACATGGCCCGTGACATCCTCCCCCACTTAAGCCGTCGACGTCCTCGTCGACTCTTGCCTCTCGAATGTCTGAATCAAGTCCTTATATTGCCATAAGGACGTCTCCTTCTCCCAGGTTGCTTCGGAGTATGGTAGCCCCTTCCATTTGACAAAGTACTCCACATGCTTTGGTTGTCTTGGTCGCACCACGACACGCTTGGCTTCAATGCTCTCCACTTCTTTGTCAAATGCCTCCGTCATCAAAGGGGGTGCTCGATGAGACTCACCTCGACTTGGTTCCTCATCGTCCGCATGATAAGGCTTCAAGTTGCTCACATGGAACACCGGGTGAAACTTGAGGCGGGGTGGGAGTTCCACAACATAAGCAGCTTTGCCAACCTTCTTGATGATAGGGAATGGTCCCTCATATTTCCGCAACAAGCTCTTGTGCAAGCCACGAGTACTCTTGTGCTGAGACGCATTGAGCTTCACAAAGACTTGGTCGCCAGTTTGGAACTCCACATTCCTTCGCTTGCGATCTGCCCATTTCTTCATCTTCTTTGAAGCCTTCTCCAAATGAGCTCGAGCAAGTTCGTGGGCTAATTGCCACTCCTTAGCGGTTTTGAAAGCGGCTGGACTATTCCCCGTGTAGCCAGTCACGACCGTGTTCGGGGTCAAGGGTTGTTGCCCTATAGCCAACTCGAACGGACTTTTCCCCGTCGACTCCGAACGTTGCAAGTTATAAGAGAATTGGGCAACATCAAGTAACTTAGCCCAATCTCGTTGATTGGCACTAACATAGTGCCGCAAATAAGTCTCTAACAATGCATTAACCCGCTCCGTTTGTCCATCAGTTTGCGGATGAAAAGCTGTGGAGAAGTCTAACCTTGAGCCAAGTAGCTTGAAGAGCTCCTTCCAAAATCTGCCCGTGAATCGAGCATCTCGATCACTGACTATGCTCCTCGGAACACCCCAATACTTCACCACGTGCTTTAGAAACAAGCGTGCAGCTACTTCGGCTGTGCACTCCACAGGTGCGGGTATGAAGGTGCCATATTTGGTGAATCTATCGACCACGACGAAGATAGATCCACATCCATCAGACTTGGGCAAATGTGTGATGAAATCCATGGTTAAACACTCCCATGGTCTTGATGGGGTGGGAAGTGGTTCCAACAGTCCTCCCGGTTGCCTTTGTTCCACTTTGTCTTGTTGGCACACAAGACAAGTCTTCACGTATGAATCTACATCATCCCGCATTTGTGGCCAATAATAAGCATCGCTCACCAAAGCCAACGTGCGGTGAGTGCCAGGATGTCCTGCCCACATTGAGTCATGGCACTCCTTAAGGATTTCTTTCCTTAAGCTTCCCCACTTTGGGACGTAGATTCGCTTGCCCTTGGTGTATAGCAAGCCGTCCTCAAGCCAAAACCTTCTTGTCTTTCCTTCCTTGACAAACTCCACAATGTTCTTGGCTTGGACGTCATGTGATAAACCTTCTCGGACACGGCCCAAGAGATGGCTTTGCGGCTTGAGTACCGTAGCCATTAACTCTACTCGTCTACTTAGAGCATCGGCCACCACATTCTCCTTTCCTTGCTTGTACTCTAGCTTGTAATCAAACTCCGCTAAGAACTCTTGCCACCTTGCTTGCTTAGGTGTGAGCTTTTGTTGGGTTTGAAAGTAGCTAGTGGCAACGTTGTCCGTCTTGATGATGAATGGGGTACCAAGCAAGTAATGCCTCCAAACTCTAAGGCAATGGACGATGGCGGTCATCATCTCCTTTTCATGGGTCGTGTACCTCTTCTCGGCATTGTTTAGCTTGCGACTTTCATAGGCTATCGGATGTCCCTCTTGCATCAACACTCCTCCTATGGCAAAGTCGGAAGCATCAGTGTGCAACTCGAATGGCTTACTAAGGTCGGGCAACCTTAGTACAGGCTCCTCCATTAGGGCCTTCTTCAACCTCTCAAAGGCCTCTTGACACCGGTCCGTCCATTCCCATGCCTTGTTTTTTCTTAAGAAGGTCTGTTAAGGGTGCCGCTATAGCTGAATACCCTTTTATGAATCTCCGATAGTAGTTGGCTAGCCCCAGAAAGGATCGTAGTGTTGGTACCTTGGTCGGCGGTTCCCACTCTTGAATGGCCTTGATCTTGCCCTTTTCCATCATAAGTTTCCCCTCCTTTATCTTGTGGCCAAGAAATTCTACTTCTTTTGTGGCAAAGGAGCATTTCTCCTTCTTGACATAGAGTTCATGCTCCCGAAGGGTCTTGAACACTATGCGCAAGTGCTTGACGTGCTCCTCCAATGTCTTGCTATAGACAACGATATCATCAATGTAAACCACGACAAACTTGTCAAGATAAGGATGGAATACCTTGTTCATCAATGTGCAGAATGTTGCGGGGGCATTGGTCAGACCAAATGGCATGACTTTATACTCGAACGATCCATATCTGGTCACCATCGCCGTCTTCGATTCGTCTCCAGGGGCTATCCTCACTTGGTAGTATCCCGATCGAAGATCTAACTTTGTGAAGTACCTTGCTTCACCAAGTTGATCGAATAAGTCGGCGATCAACGGAAGTGGTACTTGTACTTGTTCTTGATGGTAATCTTGTTCAATGCTCTATAGTCGATGCACAACCTTAGGCTACCTTCTTTCTTGCGTTGGAACAAGACGGGTGCACCATATGGGGACTTGGAGGGTTGGATGTAGCCAGCATCAAGTAGCTCGTTGAGTTGCTTCCTCAATTCCTCCAACTCGGGTGGCGACATCCTATAAGGTGATTTGGAGGGAGGCTTAGCACCAGGCTCCAACTCAATCGCATGGTCGACCTCTCTCCTTGGTGGCAACTTCTTTGGAAGTTCCTTAGGCATCACGTCCGCAAACTCCACAAGGACGTCTTCCACTTGTTTCGGCAAAGGCCCGTGATTCTCCTCCCCTTCATTCAACATTAGGGTTGCAAGAAATGTGGCCTCGCCTTTCTTCCAAGACTTGGCAAATTGAATTGCCGACAAGTGTTGGGTACACTTCTTGGCTTGCCTTTCCAATGGCACCAGGCAAGGTTGTCTTCCGTCGGCTAGGATACAGAAGATATTATAGAAGGGAATGGGAAAGGCTCGTACCTTGTCCATGAACTCTAACCCAATGACTACGCCATAGTCGTCCATCTTGACTACGGTGAAGTCGATCGTTCCCTTCCATGTGCCAATGTCTACGTGCACATTACGCGCAACTCCAACAATGGGGGTGGCAGCGGAATTTACCGTCTTCACGCTACCAGGCTCCTTTGTGACTCGGAGGCCAAGCCTTGTGGCTTCCTCCGACGTCATGAAGTTGTGTGTTGCTCCCGTGTCCACCAACACGCGCGTCGTCTTGTCACCAGTCTTGACGTCGACGAACAATGATCCTCCCCCAACTTGAGCCTTAGGTTGTGGGAGGGTTGTCTGGATGGCATTCAGTAGACGGATGCATCCCATCGTTGCATCGTTACTCTCCTCGGCCTTGTCCTCCTTGAAGGCCATGGCCTTAAGGGCCTTCTTTTGTGGGCAATCTCGCATCATGTGAGGGCCGTCGCATAGGTAACAGTTGGGTTGCCAAGACTTACCCTTGCCTTTGTCATGCTTATCGGCTTTCTTCTCCTTCGGTTTGCTTGTCTCGGCCTTGTCCTTCGGTTTATGTTCTCCCCCACTTTTCTCATGGTTACCCCTCTTCCCCGTGGACTTGGAATCACCTTGGTGGCTTGATTTAAACTCAATCAAGGATTCGCCGGCAGCGGCAATGGCATCAGACAATGTTTGCACGTGTCTCCTTTGTAGTTCGAGTTTTGCCCAATTTTGCAGTCCACTCATGAAGTACATGAGCTTGTCTTCCTCTAACATGTTGGGCACCTCGAATAACAAGCTCACGAAGGCGTTGACATAGTCTTTGACGCTCCCCGTTTGCTTGAGCCACCTTAGTTTCTCCTTGGCTTCATACTTGGCATTTTGGGGATAGAAGTGCAACATAAGATCTTTCTTAAATTCATCCCAAGTGGTGAGAGAGAACGTACCTTGCTCAATCTCCATGCTTCGGCGACGCCACCACATAAGGGCATTGTCAGCTAAGAACATGGTTGTCGTTGAGATTTTGGACTCGTCATCTTCAAGCTTTAGGTACTTGAAGTATCGCTCCACGTTCCACACGAATGTGTCGAGCTCCTTTGCTTCCCTCTTCCCATTATAGGATTTGGGTTTAAAGGAGTCTATTACCTTGGAGTCCAACGCCTTGATTTCCCTCGGCCATTGCACGAATTGCTTCACGACTGCTTCTTTACAAAACGCCACATCTCCCTTAAGTTCCCTTGTGTCCTTTATCTCTTCTTGAAGCGCCACAAACCTTGCCTCTATGTTGTCAAGGTGAACTTGGACTTCCCTCCGCATCTTGTCTGCCATGGTGTTGAGAGCGCCAAGGAGCTCATCTCGTAGCCCTTCCACCAAGCCACGCAGTTCATCCTTACCATTGTCCACCATGGTTTGGATTTCCTCCTTGTCGACAACGTCCTCATCAAGTCGAGTATCGAACTCGAGTATGGTTCGTTCCACCTTCTCGAGTCGCTCTTCCATGGTCTCCATCGATGCTTGCAAGTCTTTTAACTTTGGCTTGCTCTTGGCAACATCTTGGACCTCGGTAGTACGCTCCCTTAGGTCGGAGACTCCGGACACCATCTCTCCACTTGCCATATCCTACTTTCCTTCAAGTGATTCACGAGCTTGGCTCTGATACCAGCTGTCACGGGATGACTCTTTAAGCCTTCCGCCCGTGCGGCACTTAGACTTGAATACCTCGATGAACAAGCTAAGTAAGCCTTCGAAGCCTCGCTTCCCCGGATCGAATCACAAAGAAAGCTAAGATACCTTGGAGAATGCTAAGATCACTTAGAAGATGGGAGAAAGGAAGCTTTGTATTGAAAGTTAAGAGAACTTTACAATTGCTTACAATTCTTGGATTCTTGGATGGTTTGGCCAAATGGCCTTACCTCCTATTTATAGGCCTAAGTCACCTCCTCAATGGAGGGTTCTAGAATCCCCTACTTACATCCAAAAATATCTAGCATAGTTCTAGATACAACTTGCCTAATCTAGATTATTCTAGGTGAGGCTTAAATATGTACACTTGTGTGGAATGTTCCGGAATGCCCTAGATTATCTTGAATGCTCCGCCACGTTCTTGATTTCTCCGGGACGTTCCAGAAGCTTCCATGAAGACATGGCTTCATGGGCTTAGATATATGATGTCTTGGGCATTTTCTTTGTTTTTAACACATGGCCCGTGACACTTGGTGGTCGTGGACAAATAATTCTTTCCAAGGAGCAGAAAGCACACGGAGACCTTCAATATTCTGTAAATTCTCAAAGAAAACATCTGACTTGGGATGTGAAGTAGCAAAATAAATTGACTTTACTTTGCTCAACAACTCTGCCAGGAGTGGACCATACGGTTCATACCAAATCTCCATGTTCTCGTCCAAAGCTAACTTTTCCAAGTTGAGGAATGACTTGCCCTGAAATATAATCAATGATAAGAGCATGCTTTAAAATATTTTGAAAAACTGGACAACACATAATAACTTTAATATAAAAAACATAATAAATGTATTTACTTGATGGTGTATGTTTAACTAATATGTAAAAATCACATAAAATTTCGAATATCAAAAGAGTTGTGTACAAGTATGGTTACCTTCTCAATTAAAAAGAAAGGTTGTTCCGTTGGTATTGGGTGGCCCAACTTAAATTTGTCTTGATATGTTGAAAATTTAGCAGCAAAAATCTTCACACCACCACATTTCTTGAAATTTAATATGTTGAGTGATGGCCAATTAGAAACATGCAGTCCTGGATAGAAACTCCGAAGTTGAGGCAGATTATTAAATTCCATAACTGCTACTTTAGGGAACTCAAACTCCTCGTATGTCGTTTGTGGTCCTTCTTCCTTCACAACAATTTCCTCCATTAACCCACAATTCTTGACCTTGAACTCGTTTAGCTGCTTAAGATTTTTGGCCACTGAGACGGGAAATACATTTTTCAAACTCTTACATGAGTCTATGCAAACTAAATCTAGATTTGGGCACTCAAAACGGTTCAACTGAGTGGTAGATGATGTGTCATATACCACTTGTAGTGACTGGCACTGCTCTATATGCAATGTATCTAGAGCATTCAATCTTCCCATGATACTTGGCCCAAAGATATTAATCAGACTCTGGCATCTACAAACATTCATAATTCTGAGCTTGCCAAAAGAATTTGACTGAAGGTTGTTGTGGAATATTGTCTTCAACTTAGGTAAGTCCCATATACAACGCCTCCAAGCTAGGAAATCCTACCTGTCACATATTCATTTTAGAACTTATGAACAAAACTTTCTTCACAAGAGTGGGACGGATGCATAAGTTGGAAATGAAAGCATAAAGAAAAGAAGTTAAGTTATAATTCACCTTTTCATCAAAGAGCTCAATATCTCTTTCTTCGTTGTTGGTTGTAATATTTTCACTCTTAGCATCAAAGATGAATGTCTCCAGTTTAGTACAATTGTATAGATCCAAAAACACCAAAGACGGAAATTTAATGTAACTTCCTGAGCTGAATCTAGCAAGGCTTGGAAGATGTTGTAGCTCTAGACGGCTTAACTTATCAAACATGTCATCTGTATTCTCCTCATTTCCCACTATTTCTTCCATAATTTGACAATTAGATATCTTGAGATTTTTGAGTTGTCTGAGACATTTAGCCATGGAACTCGAAAACAAAAATCTTAAACTGCCACATTGATGCACAGTCAAGGTTGTTAAGTTGGGCATCATAACCTGCATAGCACATAACAAAATTCATGTTTATTTTAGAAAATTACAATTTACATTGTTGTTAGCCGTATGCATTCCAAATGTGTAGATATAAAGTAAATGTCATATATTTAAAAGGGAACGGATCCCCTCCTGAGAATAGGAGGCGGAGCCTTCTGAGCAAATCATACGACCGTTAGATTTTGATCCAACAGCTGCAAACAGAGGACCTCCTAAAAGTTATAATAATTGTAACCGTTTGATCAAAATCTAACAGCCCGTGTGATTTGCTCAGGAGGTTTCGTCTCCTAAGCTTAGGAGGGCATCCTTTCCCTTTTAAAAAGTAAGCTACTAAGCTACTAGGCTACTAGACAGATGTATGTCCTTGTACTTTCATTAATTAGCAAAGAACAAATTGGAGTAAAAATCCATCTGAAAAAAGAAATATAGGGCCAAAATTATGCCAATTTAATTTTAAATTTAAACTTTTTTGTTTTCGACAAAACAAAAACATATTTTATTTTTAAATTGATACCAAAAACACATTATTGTGAAAGATATTTAATGGTAAGTAATGCATTCTCCTAATAATTAGAGTTCGGTTCAAATTTTCTAAAAATAAGTGTGGCCTTTTGACAAAAAAAAAAATGTGGTCTTTTTATGACACGTCTCAATACTTGACACTGTCCACAAACTTAACCCTAACATAACTCTATCAACTCCCAACAACAACAACAACAACAACAAAGCTTTTTCCCACTAAGTGGGGTCGGCTATATGAATCCTAGAACGCCATTGCGCTTGGTTTTGTGTCATGTCCTCCGTTAGATCCAAGTACTCTAAGTCTTTTCTTAGAGTCTCTTCCAAAGTTTTCCTAGGTCTTCCTCTACCCCTTCGGCCCTGAACCTCTGTCCAGTAGTGACATCTTCGAATCGGAGCGTCAGTAGGCCTTCTTTGCACATGTCCAAATCACCGGAACCGATTTTCTCTCATCTTTCCTTCAATTTCGGCTACTCCTACTTTACCTCGGATATCCTCATTCCCAATCTTATCCTTTCTCGTGTGCCCACACATCCCACGAAGCATCCTCATCTCCGCCACACCCATTTTTTGTACGTGTTGATGCTTCACCGCCCAACATTTTGTGCCATACAACATCGCTGGCCTTATTGTCGTCCTATAAAATTTTCCCTTGAGCTTCAGTGACCTATGACGGTCACACAACACGTCGGATGCACTCTTACACTTCAACCATCCAGCTTGTATTCTATGGTTGAGATCTCCATCTAATTCTCCGTTCTCTTGCACGATAAATCTTAGGTAGCGAAAACGGTCGCTTTTTGTGATCTTCGCTAGATTGCTCCGGTCATTAGTATGGATAAGTATATAAATGGATAGAGATAGGAAAGCGAACACAAGATGCACGTGGTTCACCCAGATTGGCTACGTCCACGGAATAGAGGAGTTCTCATTAATTGTGAAGAGTTTACACAAGTACATAGGTTCAAGCTCTCCTTTAGTGAGTACAAGTGAATGATTTAGTACAAATGACATTAGGAAATATTGTGGGAGAATGATCTCGTAATCACGAAACTTCTAAGTATCGGAGTGTGGTATCGTCTTGACATGCCTTATCTGTCTCATAGGTAGATGGGGCATCTTCTCTGGAAGTACTCTTCCTCCATCCAGGGGTGGTATCTTTAACTGGTGGAGATGCACAAGGTAATGTATCAATTTCACTTGAAGCTTACTTGTAGTTTCATGCTTGGTCAAGCGCGATACAAACCATGTAGTAGGAGTCCCCCAAGTCGCCGAGCTAGGGGATCTGCTAAAAGAGGTGACAGACAAGGTAAGCGATCATAGCTCCGGCTGATTGTTCACAGTCTCCCTATCTTGCAGGCAGCATGAAGGATAAAGAGAAGAAAATGAGAAGAGATGATATGGGATACTTTTGCTTTTGAAGAAGTAACTTTCCACAGGCGTATTCTTGAACTGAGCTGGAGGGTTTTCTGGTTTCCTCCAGAGTATAAGGCCGACTGAAGAATTTGAGGGTCAAAACAAGTCCATCAAATCTAGAGTACGTTCGACCCTGCTGATATGGGATACTTTTACTTTGACAGAGTAATGGATGTATCGGCACGTGTGCTGTTACGCTTGTCTCCACATGCTTCCTCGTATCCTTCTCCCTTGCCCTATCTGTTCCTCAGGCAGATGCGGTATCTTCCCTGGAAGCATAAGATGTTGAAGATGAGTACTCGAGAGCAATGTCAGGTAAGTAATCAGGTAAGGGGTTCCACGCAGTCAGTTACTGGCTGGAAGCTTGATTCCAAGTACTGACTGATTGCTCTCTTTCTCCTTGTCTTGCAGGTAAGAACAAGGTCAAAGGAAAAGACAGGGAAAAAGCATGATATGGGATACTCTTGCTTTTAACCCTGATGATATGAGATATTCTTGCTCTAGTATAGCTTGTTTGCAGAGGTATTATCGGGGGGAAAGAAAGCTGAATATTTCGAAAGGCTTCGTTGGGAGTGCCCTCTCAGATATGAGGAAGGGTTGAGCATTTTTGCAGGTCTGCCTGTCCGTTGGGGATGGAGGTCGACATATATAGGAGTCTCCTTAACAACAAGTAGTAATGCTATTCCTTTACCCTACTTGGTCATAACACGGTAGTGGGAGCTGCCAGCTTCACATGTTTTAACGCTGTCAGAGCACTTTGAAAAAGTGGTTTGTGGTATCTGGAAAGCTGATGTTGCGTGTGAAGATTACAGACAGCTTTATCCAAGGAGATCCGGCTCTTGAAGTTGGGAAAGTGTTGCCTCTTCGGTTTTCGAACAAGCAATCCTATCGGGGATCTGACTCTTGAGATTCGGAGAACGATGCCTCTTCGATTTTTGAGAAAGCAATCATGCTAGGGGTCTGGCTCTCGAGATTCGGAGAGCGGTGTCTCTTCGATTTTTGAGAAAGTAATCATGTTGGGAGTCTGGCTCTCGAGATTCGGAGGGCGGTACCTCTTTGATTTTGGAGCAAGCAGTCTTGTTGGGAGTGTTTTCTCGAATGTGAGTAAAGGTTGGGCATGTTTGCTAGTCTACCTTGCCACGAAGCACAGAGGTTGACACACAGGGACTTTCCAATTATCCAGCAATGGTACTGTTCCTTTACCCTCTTCGATTTTTGAGAAAGTAGTCATGTTGGGAGTCTGGCTCTCGAGATTCGGAGGACGGTGCCTCTTCGATTTTGGAGCAAGCAATCTTATTGGGAGTGTTTTCTCGAATGTGATTAAAGGTTGGGCATGTTTGCTAGTCTACCTTGCCACGAAGCACAGAGTTTGACACACAGGGACTTTCCAATTATCCAGCAGTGGTATTGTTCCTTTACCCTTGTGGGTAATAATATGGTAGCTAGACCTTCAAAATTTATGTGTCTAAACTTTGTTAGTGTTGTTTCTTTGCTATTCTTTTACCCTTCTTGGTCAGAGCGATGTAGTGGGAGCTGCAAGCTTCACGTGTTCAACCTTGGCAGAGAACTTTGGCAAAGTTATCTGTGGTACCCATGAGCTACTGTTGCGTGTGGGAAGTGGGTGATTGAACAGTACGACTCATGTGCTTTCTACTTCACCAGAAGTCTTCGACCGAATGCCCATAATTTCCGCAAAGCTGAGTGTGCGTGTGACAGGTGCTGACAAGGCTGGAAAAGTAGGTGCCTCTTCGATTTCTGAGATCGGCCCTCGTGGTCTCTGAGCAACCCAGCTTTTGAGAAAGCAAGCGCCTCTTCGATTTCTGGGATCGGCCTTCGTGGTCTTTGCGCAGCCCAGCTTTTGAGAAAGCAAACGCCTCTTCGATTTCTGAGATCGACCCTCGTGGTATCTGCGCAGCCTTGCTTTTGAGAAAGCAAACGCCTCTTCGATTTCTGAGCAGGCGCCTCTTCGATTTCTGAAGCTCCGTCGAGTGCAGATTTTTATAGAGGCTGGCATTAAGTTCCAAAGCACACTTGAATCTCCACCAGTAGAAGCTCTATTCTTGCACTTCTAAGATCTTGATTTGTCAGACCTCTTCTCTCTTCAACACGTTTGAAAATGTCTGGCCCCTCCGACCGTCGTTTTGACTTGAACCTTGTTGAAGAGGCAGCCCCGCCTTCTCCTGACAACATATGGCGTCCATCCTTCGTCTCCCCTACTAGTCCTCTTACCGTTGGGGATTCCGTGATGAAGAATGATATGACCGCTGCGGTGGTGGCCAGGAACCTTCTCACTCCCAAAGATAACAGACTACTTTCCAAACGGTCTGATGAGTTAGCTGTTAAGGATTCTCTGGCTCTCAGTGTTCAGTGTGCAAGTTCTGTGTCTAATATGGCCCAACGCCTATTTGCTCGAACCCGCCAAGTTGAATCATTGGCGGCTGAAGTGATGAGTCTCAAACAGGAGATTAGAGGGCTCAAGCATGAGAATAAACAGTTGCACCGGCTCGCACATGACTATGCTACAAACATGAAGAGGAAGCTTGACCAGATGAAGGAATCTGATGGTCAGGTTTTACTTGATCATCAGAGATTTGTGGGTTTATTCCAAAGGCATTTATTGCCTTCGTCTTCTGGGGCTGTACCGCGTAATGAAGCTCCAAATGATCAACCTCTGATGCCTCCTCCTTCTAGGGTTCTGTCCAGTACTGAGGCTCCGAATGATCCCCCTCCGGTGCCTTCTCTTTCTGGGGCTCTACCGACTGCTGAGACTTCTCCTAAGCAACCTTTGTGAAGGCTCCCTCTTGTTTGTTTATTTTGACTTATGTATATGTACATATTTGTAGCTTATCGGGGATATCAATAAATAAGCTTTCCTTCATTTCAACGTATTGTGTTAAATACACCAAAGCCTTCTTCGCTAAGTTCTTTGAATTTTCTTTTGTTGAAGCTTTGTGAGTGGAGCACGTAGGTTGAGGTAGTGTTCCCTTAATTTCCTGAGTGAGGAAAACTTCTCGGTTGGAGACTTGGAAAATCCAAGTCACTCAATGGGATCGGCTATATGAATCTTAGAACGCCATTGTGCTCGGTCTTGTGTCATGTCCTTCGTTAGATCCAAGTACTCTAAGTCTTTTCTTAGAGTCTCTTCCAAAGTTTTCATAGGTCTTCCTCTACCCCTTCGACCCTGAACCTTTGTCCCATAGTCGCATCTTCTAATCGGAGCGTCAGTAGGCCTTCTTTGCACATGTCCAAACCACCGTAACCGATTTTCTCTCATCTTTCCTTCAATTTCGGCTACTCCTACTTTACCCCGGATATCCTCATTCCTAATCTTATCCTTTCTCGTGTGCCCACACATCCAACGAAGCATCCTCATCTCCGCTACACCCATTTTGTGTACGTGTTGATGCTTCACCGCCCAACATTCTGTGCCATACAGCATCGCCGGCCTTATTGCCGTCCTATAAAATTTTCCCTTGAGCTTCAGTGGCATACGGCGGTCACACAACACGCCGGATGCACTCTTCCACTTCATCTATCCAGCTTGTATTCTATGGTTGAGATCTCCATCTAATTCTCCGTTCTTTTTGCAAGATAGATCCTAGGTAACGAAAAACGGTCGCTCTTTGGTATTTCTTGATCTCCGATCCTCACCCCTAACTCGTTTTGGCCTCCATTTGCACTGAACTTGCACTCCATATATTCTGTCTTTGATCGGCTTAGGCGAAGACCTTTAGATTCCAACTCTTCTCTCCAAAGGTTAAGCTTTGCATTTACCCCTTCCTGAGTTTCATCTATCAACACTATATCGTCTGCGAAAAGCATACACCAAGGAATATCATCTTGAATATGTCCTGTTAACTCATCCATTACCAACGCAAAAAGGTAAGGACTTAAGGATGAGCCTTGATGTAATCCTACAGTTATGGGAAAGCTTTCAGTTTGTCCTTCATGAATTCTTACGGCAGTCTTTGCTCCTTCATACATATCCTTTATAGCTTGGATATATGCTACTCGTACTCATTTCTTCTCTAAAATCCTCCAAAGAATGTCTCTTGGGACCCTATCATACGCTTTCTCCAAATCTATAAAGACCATGTGTAAATCCTTTTTCCCATCTCTATATCTTTCCATCAATCTTCGTAAGAGATAGATTGCCTCCATGGTTGAGCGCCCTGGCATGAACCCGAATTGGTTGTCCGAAACCCGTGTCTCTTGCCTCAATCTATGCTCAATGACTCTCTCCCAGAGCTTCATTGTATGACTCATTAGCTTAATACCCAAATAGTTCATGCAATTTTGTACGTCGCCCTTATTCTTGTAGATAGGCACCAAAGTGCTCGTTCGCCACTCATTTGGCATCTTCTTCGTTTTCAAAATCCTATTGAAAAGGTCAGTGAGCCATGTTATACCTGTCTCTCCCAAAACTTTCCACACTTCGATTGGTATATCGTCTGGGCCTATTGCTTTTCTATGCTTCATCTTCTTCAAAGCTACAACCACTTCTTCCTTCCGAATTCGACGATAAAAAGAGTAGTTTCTACACTCTTCTGAGTTACTCAACTCCCTTAAAGAAGCACTCATTTCATGTCCTTCATTGAAAAGATTATGAAAATAACATCTCCATCTGTCTTTAACCGCGTTCGCTGTAGCAAGAACCTTTCCATCCTCATCCTTGATGCACCTCACTTGGTTTAGGTCCCTTGTCTTCTTTTCCCTTGCTCTAGCTAGTTTATAGATATCCAACTCTCCTTCTTTGGTATCTAGTCGTTTATACATATCGTCGTAAGCCGCTAACTTAGCTTCTCTCACAGCTTTCTTCGCCTCTTGCTTCGCTTTTCTATACCTTTCACCATTTTCATCAGTCCTATCCTTGTATAAGGCTTTACAACATTCCTTCTTAGCCTTCACCTTTGTTTGTACCTCCTCATTCCACCACCAAGATTCCTTTTGGTGTGGGGCAAAGCCCTTGGACTCTCCTAATACCTCTTTTGCTACTTTTCGGATACAACTAGCCATAGAATCCCACATTTGGCTAGCTTCCCCATCTCTATCCCACACACACTGGGTGATTACTTTCTCTTTGAAAATGGCTTGTTTTTCTTCTTTTAGATTCCACCATCTAGTCCTTGGGCACTTCCAAGTCTTGTTCTTTTGTCTCACTCTTTTGATATGTACATCCATCACCAACAAGCGATGTTGATTAGCCACGCTCTCTCCTGGTATAACTTTGCAATCCTTACAAGTTATACGATCCTTTTTCCTCATTAGAAGAAAATCTATTTGTGTTTTTGACGACCCACTCTTGTAGGTGATCACATGTTCTTCTCTCTTCTGAAAGAAGGTGTTGGCTAAGAAGAGATCATATGCCATTGCAAAATCCAAGATAGCTTCCCCATCCTCGTTTCTCTCCCCAAAACCATGGCCACCATGAAAACCTCCATAGTTGCCTGTCTCCCTGCCCACGTGTCCATTTAAATCTCCTCCTATAAATAACTTTTCCGTCTGAGCAATTCCTTGCACCAAGTCTCCAAGGTCTTCCCAAAATTTCTCCTTCGAACTCGTATCCAACCCTACTTGAGGTGCGTACGCACTAATCACATTGATAAGTTCTTGTCCTATTACAATCTTGATTGCCATGATTCTATCTCCTACCCTCTTGACATCTACAACATCTTGTGTCAAGGTCTTGTCCACGATGATGCCAACACCGTTTCTCGTTCTATTTGTGCCCGAATACCAAAGTTTAAACCCTGAGTTTTCTAGATCCTTTGCCTTACTACCAACCCACTTAGTTTCTTGTAGGCACATAATATTTATTCTTCTCCTCACCATAAATTCCACTACTTCCATAGATTTTCCCGTTAAGGTTCCTATATTCCACGTTCCTAAACGCATTTTGCTCTCTTGAACTCTACCCTTCTGTCCTAGCTTCTTCACCCTCCCCCGTCTAATAGGATCAAAGTACTTCTTTTGTGTGTCCCGTGTAAAGTTGATAGGAGCATATGCTCCCAAACAACTTTGAGTGGAGTCGTTCGAAAAGAAGTTTCTATGGCCCCCTTGCTCATTTAACACTGCATCCGGGTGCCGATGGAGATACAGCGACCCTTGCTCACTTATCACTGTGCTCGGGCCACACAGCGCCTGAAACACAACAGCAGCAATATCAATTGCATCTCGATGACGTCAGGGAGATGCTGCCGCTATGCTTGAAGAGGTGGAGGTCCGTGAGGAGGGTTGGTGGCGTTGTGAGGGAAGGAAGGGGAATGGAAGAGGTGGAGGTTCGTGAGGAGGGGGCGGTGATTGGTTAACGCCGTTAGGTATGGTTGAACGAATGGATAGATGTCAAAATTGTAAGAGAGTCAGAGAGGTCACATGCATAAATGGATGCAGAAGATTTGACTTGAATAACACTAGTTGTCACTTAATATTACAGTTTAGTAATATTTCCTTTTACTAATAAGTGAGGAGTTTTAATTTCGATTTTTGTCAAAAACGAATTTGGACTATATTATTGTTAAAGTTTAGCCAACTTCTTCATTTTTTTAATGTAGATAATATCGTTTGTTAAAAAATATATATATTAATAATTGATTACCGTGGGTTATCAAAACCTGAAAACATAATATATCATTTAAATGGTTTTGGCTCATTGAAAAAAAGAATCTTAAAAAAAAAAAGAATTTTAACGAAAAGTTTCCGTTATTATTTACTTTAACGAAAAACCACACTTTTACACTAAAAAATCAATCATGGTATTATTGATTTTACCTTTTATTTTGTCTTTATTGTTAAAACTCAAAATTTTAAAACCGTTTTCATTAATTTTTCTTAAAAAAAAAATCCATGGGTTATTAAAATAAATCTTAAAGAGAAATTCAAAATTCGAAGAAGAAAACTACTTGGAGAAAGAATCATGCAACCATTTTGCTAGAAAAATAACAGAGAAAGTACCTCTCCATTACTGAAAAGTCTCGGTGGTCCACCAACTTCTTCCTCCAAAACGATTTCGTCGGCATCTGTACCAATCGTTCGCTTGTCTTTGGAAAAGAAACCAATAAGCTTCGGTAGATTCCAAAGTGTCAAAGATTTTAACTTTTGAAAGGGCTCGCCTACAAGTTGGCCATAACATACACTTTCCAAAGTCACAAGGTCTTCAAGAGTTAGAGATTCCAGGTTGGGGAAGGTATTATGAGAATAACTCCAACTGACGAAGTTAATGACATATGTAACTTCGTCGTTGTTTTGGACATGGAGACACTTCAGTTGTTCCACAGCATCACTGTCAAATAGAAAGGAAATAATATTCCCACTCTCCTTCCCATCCAAGTACAATTGCTCACATCTCTTTACCAGCAACTTTATACCTCGGTCGAATTGATTTCTCCTGGTGAGCTTCAGTTTTAGCATGTTAGAGGAGGTTCCGTACGTGTCAGGATACTCCCAACAATCACCGATAAGTATGTTGTATCTTTCCAACTTATCGGAGAACAAGTTCGGTGGAAGAAGGTCAGCATCTGGAACATGTATGTCTAATGCAGTTAGTTCAGCCAAGTGCTTCAGCTCTGAAACAGTAGCATTACTTCCTCCGCTAATGGGACCTTCACCCTCCCATTGCTTAAAGCTTTTTATTCCCATCCTCAAGTCTTCTAGTCTTGTCAAGCTTGATATAACACCAGGTGAGATCATAACAAGTTCAGAGCAACCGGTCAAATCCAATAATTGTAGGCTAGTCAATTGCCCTATTTCTTTGGGCAACTCTTTAATCTTGGACTCAAGGAAGCTAAGAATTTTCAAGTTTGTTAGCTGTCCAACAAGAGTTATGTCTACCAACTCGCATTGATCTAAGCACAATGTGTGGAGATGCTTTAGGGATTGAAGAGATGGAGGTAGTGACTGAATATTGAATCTGGTTACATCCAACACTTTGAGTTCTTTCATCCCTTCAAAAAAATTGCTTGGGATTTCCTGGGAGTCCCCAATATGATTATTATCCAAGCGCAGCAATTTTAATTCTGGGCATTCCCAAGGTACTTCAGGAAGCCTGGGGATCTTGCACATTATTAAGGACATCCTTGTGCATTTTTCAAGGAAATCCTCAGTTGGCCATTGTTTCACCTCATCTTCATATGCTCTTGAAAAGGCTTTTTGATCATCAGTTGCAATCCGGACAGCAACATCTCGTACAAGTTCATGCATTCTAACAGTGTCATCGTCATAGCTGTCCTGCAATAGGCAAGAATTTTTTAATTTTTTAACCATTACATTCAATGAAGTCCATGCCTCTTCCACTGTCTCAACATTTTTTATCAAACCCAAACCCATACTATACTTCAACAAGTCACTGAGATAATTGCAGCTACTCCCACAAAGCAAGAACAATTGCTTAAGCTCTTGATCCTCCAATTGTTCGTAACTCCACTTTAGAGCCAAGAATGCTTTTTCATTCAACTCTTTCTTGTCAAATCTTTTGAAACTTCTCAACGCAACTTTCCATTCATCCAAACTACTATCCCTTAAAGCCCTTGCAACTGCAACAACCAAAACTGGCAAACCTCCACATTTCTTTGCTAGCTGGGTTGCTTCCTTCAGTATACGGTTGTCTTTAACATCACCTGCCATCTTCTCAAACAAATTCCAACTTTCCTGTTCTGTTAAAAATCCAAGTTGAAATTCTTTTTGCGTACGCATATCAGAGCGTATAACTTTTATTTCTCTAGATGTCAACAATAGCTTACAGTTCGGCACACCGATGAGTCCCACAGCCTCAAAGTCAGTTCTTTCCAAAACATCATCTAAAATGACAAGAGTCTTCCCATCTTTTATCCTGGCTCGTAGGAGATTCGCCCTTGTTCCCACATCCTCAGATTCATCAACATCCATCCTCAACTTTTTGGCAATTTCTTTTTGAAATTTTTCGTTGTCGTTTTTTTCTTTGACATTTAGTATTATAACCACATCATCAAATAACTTCTCTTCCAGAGCTTCTCTGTAAACCTCTTTGGCAAGTGTTGTCTTCCCAACGCCCCCTAATCCGTACACACCAATCCTGTTGATATCAGGTTTTTTCAATTCCGTAATGATATCCTTCACCATTGAAATCCTTGATTCAAAGGCCATGTACTCGTCGGAGGCTATGGCAGATATATCTTCTACGGCAGCATTGTAAGAAATACTGGCATACTCTTTTTTTTTATTTACATGTTCTTCAATCTTTTCCATCAGTTTTGTTGACTTCCTGCTACGCTGATGATAGGATATCAGATTAGGACATATAATGAGACACATTGTCTTTGCACGGCCTTCATCATGCAAGAGTGCTTTTGCCTCCAGAGTGGTCTTCTCCGCATCTGACTGCCATTTCTGGACATCAGCTTCCACTTTTTGATCAACTTTTCTTCTGACTTCATCAACTTCATGCTTCATCCTTTCTTTGACAGAATCAAAATTCTCCAATTTATTCTTTAGATCGTTAAGGTTGCTTTTATAGAAAATGATATAACCCACTTGGCGTGCAACTGGTCTAATTGTGTAGTCAATTATTGTAGGAATACTTGCAGTGAGTATCTCCATCGGCATGGCACCTTCAGCTTACCAATTCGTCTGCTTCTCCGATCTGTTGAATATATACGAATCCAAAATATAAAAAATTCAAGATACGAGAAAGAAATCCTTATTTTTAAAGCAGATGAATTAAAGAATGAAACAATAGGTCATACCTTAGCTCGTGATCGAGACTACGCTTGAAGAAAAACAGAGCAGTATGCAAATGTTTTTGTTTTCTTTTGCATCTTTTGGAGAAATCTACATAGTAAAAGCAAAAACAAGGTTATATCACACTTGCAAATAGACGTCGAGACCATGAACAAGTTTTCACATACAACTTTTTATACTAAAAAAACTTGGTTGGTACAGAACTTAGGTAACTGTTTTCAAATCTTAAAAACTACGAAAAACGTATATAATCTGCTTTGAATTTCACTGAGGCATTTTAACAAACATCATATCTGCACGCTTAAAGCTGGTGCATGAGGCAGAGAACGAAATGTAGAACAATTTATTGAAGTGCGTACCACAGGGCTACTGATCTAGATGGTACGATGGAGTTGACCCCCGATTCTCAGGAGCTGAGCGTGTTAACTCTGCCAAGACTCGACGAGTTCCAGAGGCTCATTTCTAGTTGATCTAGTTTACGAAAGAAATCTGAGGCCAACAACTGCGAAATCCAGGCAGTCATGAGCTCGAGCAACGCGAGGTTAGGAACAGAGACAACCTCGCTCTGAAGGGTCGAGCAGAGCTAGGAGGCTGCCGAGTGTCTGCAATGGCAGCCATGGTGATTGGTCCTAGACGAAGGGAGATGGAGGAAAAGGGTGAAAAAGTTGCAGGGAGGAAGAAAGGGTGTGTTTGGTTGTGTGTTTAAAAGGTGTTTTGTTTGATAGTAATATCTTTGTGATGTATAAGATAATGGCAGTGTTGGTGATGGTGGTTATGACAAGAGTAGTGCTGCCATACCTCCACCAAGAACACAGTTGACAGCTGCCATGCCTCCACCAAGCACCTCCCTCCCCTTTCTCCCGAAGCCATGGTAGCTCCACCCCCAAATTTTACAACTCATGACAGATCATATCCATCTTACCAATTTTTTATTTAATTAATCCCCAAAGTGAGAATTACTCTTCTATAAATGATATTTGGAAAACCGTTTTGCAAACGAAAAAGACAAAAGGCTCAAAAGACAAATAAAATTTTGCGTTTTTATAATTACATAACTAGCATATGGGCACACAAAGTGTGTGAGAAAATTTTTTATTTTTGTTTTTGAAATAGAAGGAGAGAGGAAGAGAGTGATAGAGAATGGGGAAGCTTTTTATTTTTTTTAGAGTTATGTTAGGATTACATGTTGAGGTTTTGAAAAAAAACACAGCAAAAGTTGGTTGTGTGAAATTACATTTCTGCCTCATATTTCTTATTCATGTTCTGTTTTAATTAGAGGGTTAAACTGATAATTTCATAGGTTTTGGTTGACAATGAGTGTTTTATTAATTAGTAGAGATGAGTGAGTTAGTTTAATTCAATAATTATCTTTAATAATAAAAATTGACTATTAATATATACTAGATAAAAGTCACATACTATGTTAATCTATAGACAATTTAAAAAAGAATTGGAATTTTGTTAAAAAAAAAAAGAAAGAATTGGAATTAAAATTTAAAAAAGGGAAAAGTAGGGAGTGGGAGAGAAAAAGGTACCAAAACCGAAACAAGAAACAAATCAAACCGCACCGAACAGTTCGGTTTTGCGGTTTTGAAACCAAACCGCAATGTAAGGAAACAGTTTAGTTGTGGTTTTGACTATTGAAAGCTGCACCGAAACCGAACCACACCGCACATATTAATAAACATTTAATTGAATATCATATTAGATGTCATGTTTTAATTGGTTGTTTGTTAGAATCCATATGTACTTTTTTTTTTTTTTTTGGGAAATTGATTCATAAATTAAACCAGGTCGAGCCACCAAGGGTGGAAAGCCAATGAGGGCAAACGAGCACAAACAGACAGTACAAAGTGAGGGAGGGGATACAAATGATGCAGCAAAAGCCCCTTGCGCACCACCCAAACCCACGACACCAAAAACTAATTAGGGGGACATGAAAGACCATCCTTAGATACCAAAAACTAATTAGGGAGTCATATATATATGTATGCTTAGGTTTGCATTGTTTACAACAGCTGGTGATACTTTGTTCCATAGGATAGGACCAAACATAGTTTTATGTTATTAGAATCTTGTTTGCCGCCCACACCACCCAATGGTATTCTTGTATGCTGTCGCCTTCTCCTAATATATAGATGATAGTTCATTTGCATAGGAAAAGGAGAACAGAAAGGGAAGGCCTGTCAAATAAAACTCTCCCCAAACATCCAATATCTTTCATGAACAAAAAGGGAAGGCCTGTTAAATAAAACTCTCTCCAAACACCCACTATCTTTCTAACCAAACACACCACTTTTTCTCTGTTACTAGTATCCAAACATCCATCTTCTCAGTTTACCAAAAATTAATCAAGGTGTGTTTAATGTATAAAGTGGCGCGCAGATAATTGAAGAGTTTTTATGTTTTTCTCTTCTAATGTTGTCAATAAATGAACTTTAAGCCATTGTTGGTTAGGGAGAAGAAAATGGAAACATAAGAAGAAAAAGAAGACGACGACTGATCATTATTCAGGAGACGACAAGTTCGACAAACAGAGGTGCAGAAGAGCAAGAAAGGCTCAAGCTTTTCTCAACTTGGTTTTCTTCATTTTATTATGCATTTAGTGACAACTTCAATTATGTTTCGAAATTAATTTCTTTTCCTAGAGCTACGAGGTAGCCTAATCATGATTGCTTCATTCCTTAGTTTCGTTATTTATGAATTTCAGTCTTATTGAGTTTATTTTGTTGTGGATTATACGCTTGATTTTTATCTTGTTGATTAGCTACAAACTTGGTTTGTCAAGTTTATCTAATGCAAATTTAAGTATGCGCCAATTCAAAGCTTCTTGGAGTTAAAGTTATGAAATCCTTGATATCGAGGTTATACACTAAGTTTCATGCGGTCTCTTAGTTAGTGTCCAAATCATTAATGAATTTTTTTTTGTGTTTAGTAATCTACATGTCATAGATTCTTAGCACATAAGAGTATACCTAGTAATCTAGATGCCATGAATACTATATGATTTAGAGGAATTAGAGTATACCTAGTAATCTTGATGATATATTTGTTAATAATTTACTGCCAAAAATAGGTTGGACTGGTTATGGTGAAATCGAATGCTCTAGCAACTCACTCATCTCGTTCATAATTTGTTTCTATTTGCATCCCTATTCCTTTAGTCTTATTTTTCTTGTTATTCTTCAGTGTTTTTAAATCAAGAACTCAATCCTTGCAATTCTTTCTTATAATCAATGTTACTTTTAATTCAAGTGCAATTCAATTTAAGTTAGGCAATTAGAATTGACTCGATCTCAGTTAGAACAAGGTTGTGTTTGCCTATTATAGTATACTACGATTCGTACATTTGCGAGCATTAAAATTTGAACTTAATTGGATTGATTTCAGTAAATCTAATTTCGGCAACAAAGATCGATTTTTTTGTCTTAAAATAGTTAAGATCAATTAAATTCTAATTGCATAGTTTCTAAATTTTTTCAAAAGGGTTGGTGGGATCTTTCAAAGCTCAGAAGTGTGCTATTTGAGAATATGGTGCAGAAAACCATTAGTTGGCTTGCTGGTAACCTTGGTGTGAGAAGGGACAAACTTTAACTTATTTGAAATGGCATTTCGAATGGTGTTTTCTTTGTGAAGACTTCTTATGGTCTCTTATTTCAAAGAGAGTCTTGGATGATTGGTCCCTAATGAACAGCGGGCTAGGAAATATTTGACTTCTAATCCTTCATGCAATTTTTGTTCTTGGCATGATGAATCTATTCTCCATATTCTCAGGAATTGTTATAAGACTGAATATGTTTGGCTGCTTCTTAGTGTGCGTTGTTATGTGATAAACTCTTTTGATTAGAACATTCAAGCTTGGTTGCTTGCTAATCTTAAGGTGCATATAAGGTTATCAATCAAAGTTCTTTGTGCATTTTATTCCTCTTTATTTTTTGGCATATTTTGAAATGGAGAAATCAACAAATTTTTTATACTAATTATGTTATGCCAAGGGATCCTTAAGCTATTTTAGTAAGGGATGCTGCTGAATGGGTGAAGGCGTCCTCAAAAGCTTCTGTGAAGCCAACTAGGATGGTGCAAGATTAATATTGATGGTTAAGAAGAATGACTTCTAGGCAAATTGGGGGTGGTTGAGTTCTTAGAGATCATTGTGGTGATTGGTTAGGGAGATTTTCTGCTAATTTGGGGCAGGGACAAGTTATGGAGGTAGAGGTTTAGAGTTTTTATTTTGGCCTTAAGCTTGCTTTAACAAAGGCGTATATAGGCTTATTATTAAGATGAATTCAGTGGGTGGTGTCAACTTGATTAAGCAAAATATGGCAAATGATTTTCATCCTCGTATTACAATTTTGAGTAGCAACTGAAATATGAAGGATCAGCTGGTGCGTCATCGGTTGGTTCATACTTTCCGACAAAATAATTTTGTTGCTGTTCATTTAGCTAGCTCGAGCTACAATACGGACCTGGAGGTTTGTGCTTTTCATGATCCTCCTATGTGGATTGAGATGGTGTCGATGGATGATTGCTTAGGCCATCTCCAACCGAAGGGTCCAGAGGGCCAGAGGGCCGAAAATAGCCCTAAAACCGTCTCCAACCGAGGGCTAGGCCAGAGGGCTCTGGAATCTGGGAGGGCCCCACGGGATCGGAGAGGGTTGGAGGGCTGGAGGGCTGGCTGCTTTCGGCCAGCCAGCCCCGGGCTGGCTTATTTTTTTTTTAATGTTTTCTATTGCTGTCGGTTAAAACCGACAGCATTGAAGAGGTTTTTTTTTTTTTTAATAGTTCTACTATTAGTGTCGGTTATAACCGACACTAATAGTTTGAAATGTTTTTTAATATAACGGCTAGTAGCCGTTGGATTATTAGGCCTCTTTTTTTTTTTTTTTTTTTTAATGAATTTAAACTTCTTTTTTTCCCTTTTTTTTTCCTTTTCATATGAATCAAATTTTGTTTCATATTTTTTTTCCTATAACTTCTATTTCACAAAATTTGTTTCATATTTTTTTTCAATTCTATTTTTTTCGTATAACTTCCTAGGCCATTTATACAACATTAAATTGTAGTTTTTAAATAATAAATTATGTTTGGCCCTATGGCCCTTTGGCCCTCGGTTGGAGACGGTTTTTTGTGACAGGGCTAAAACGAGCCCTTTGGCCCTCTGGCCCTCGGTTGGAGACGGAGGCAAATATGGCCCTGTACTGTTCATTAAAATATTAATATCTTGGGGAATCTTGGAGGGCCAGAGGGCTCAAACGAGCCCTCTGGCCAGCCTTCGGTTGGAGATGGCCTTAGGTTCTTCAAGGCTTGTTTTGTCTGTTCGAATGTTGTTTCTTATTTCTTACATTTATAAGGTTAGGTGTTCCATATGATCGACCTCTTCGAGTTCATTGTTGATGTGTTTTCTCTCTATAACAAGGTGCTGCCGCAGGCGCAGCACCCGTTGAAGTTTTTGTTAGGGATCCATTAAATAGTTAATTCTGAAGAGATTGAATTAAAAGTCAATTAATCTTCCGGACATTGAGAATTCATTTGGATTTGAAATTAGCCATGGACTTCAAGGTTCAATGACCAAGACCCAAATGTGAGAAAATTTTCATTGTGTCTGGAACACGGATGGTACACCACAACTTGTTATATAAGTGGTGAGAAATGTTATTTTTTAAGTTGTTAATTTTTTAACACAAGTATCTTACTATTTGTATAATGACACATGGTGTATCACCCCGTATTCCAGGTACACTGAAAAATCTCTCTTCAATCACAACTTAAATTCATGAAGTCTAAAAGAGGCTCATTGAATTCTCTTAGCCAATTATAGAGGGACAAGAGATTGTTGAGTGTGTCGCTAGATCATCTCAAATAGGCTCTTTAAATAAGCTTTTAACAACCACTTAGTATTACGGTCTAGTGTTATTTTTCTTCACTTATAAGTGAGAAGTCTTATATTCAATTCTTTCCAAAAGAGAAATTGAGTCAAATTATTGTTAGCCCATTGTGAGGTTTAACCCGTTTTCTATCTCTCATGGACACCCACTTTTCTTTTTTTGCACACCCGTATTTCTTATTATTTTATTTCATGTATTTAAACCCGAATTCTATAACATTTTTTTTAGTACATCGATACTTTTACACTAGGAGGAGTGGGAGTTCGACTAAGCCACACAATATGTAGCCTAATTTGGTATCGAATTCGCTATCCACGAGATTTGAACCTAAGATCTCTTATTTCCAAGTGAAGAAGAAGACCACCAGAGCGTAGTATTGAGTGGTTAATCCCAACAATAATTAGCAATAACTTTTTGCACCTAATTCGCTCCCAGCTCGCAACATGTGTTTACATCTCTCTTTCTATTGTTTTAATTCCTTTTTTAAGTTAGCTTCAATAGGTTTTTAAAACTAAAAGTTGAAATCAACGTTGGAGAGATAGACAAGGATTTGGATCCTCTCTTAAGCTCAACATCCTGAGCCTGCTAAGCAAATCACATGGGCCATTGGATTTTGATTCAACGACTACAAACAGAAGGCTCCTCTAAAAGTTATAATAATTGTAGCCGTTAGATTTCATAGTGGGTGTTCAATTTGGTTGTATAGGAATTAAGTTGGGTGTAGTCAAATTAGGATTTCAATTGATTTTTAAGTTATTGGATTTCATAGGATTATGGACTTCTATCAAATATATATGGATTCTGAAAGGTTTGAGAAGATTCGTATAACAAATTTTTAATAATTTAATAGACTTATGCAGCTTTAAATCTTGGCCATCTAATAAATCAAATGGTTATAAATGTGTTTAGGTCATAAATCTAACCAAATGGAGCTGCAATTGGTTCATGCTCTAGAGTTGCATCCCCTTCTCCAGATGGAACAACTTGGTGAAGCAAGAGTCAGCTTGAGTGGGGCGTGGTGGAGATGAGATTCTTTTTAACCTTTTTTATACATGAAATTCACTCTCAAATCCCACTAAATCGCTTACTCAATGAAGCTAAGGACAACTCATTGCGGAGGCTGTTGCTTTAAAGGAAGGGCTTTTGTTTGCCAAGCGCAAATGTGTGAAGATGTTGATGGTGAAAGGGGATTCTAAGCAAGTCATCCAGGTGGTGCAAGATGTTTGGATGCCTCCTTGGCATCTTAAACCTATCATAGAGGATATAAAATGGTTGGCTTCTAAGTTTCAACTAGGGGTGGGCAAACGGGCCCTGGGCCCGCGGGTAGGGGCGGGTATTAGCGGTTCGGGGCGGGTACGGGGCGGGTCCTAATTTTAAAAAAGAGAAACGGGGCGGGGCGGGGCGGGCCTTTGAAATTTTAGGTTCGGGCCGGTTCCAAAAGTGTAGAAAAATGGGTACCCGGACCGGCCCGTTTGCAAAAAAACCCCTTTGTTGGGTACTGTTATTGTCTCCCAGCCTCCCAAGCCCACTTCTTTTGTTCCTCCCCGTGGGCCGTGACATTTCTCAATCTCCAACACACACACACACACCCCATTTCTCAGTCTTCGTAACAAAATCGCTCGAACCTTCCTCATTCTTCTGCTTTGTTTTTTTCTCCCCCATCTCTGCAACTCTTCTTCCCGGAGCACAAACACACCACCCCCACACCCCACCGAGAAATGATATGCTGCCGCCGCCCTCCTCCCCCACCAACTCCTCCGTCTCCTCCTCCGATCTCAACACCGAGGTAACGCATTTCCCTAATTTCTTCCAATTTCGTCAATTTCTTAATTTTGATTGACAAAATTTGTGAAAAGTTGTGAAATTTTCAATTGCATGTCTGGCTTTTGGCACTCCTTGTCCAGGATGAAGATGGTCTTGGTTGGTGGGTACGAGTGCTCGAAGGATAGCTTGGGGTTCGACCGGATCTCCACGTTTGAGTCGTCCAGCTGCAGTGGGGAGTGGTGGAGAGAACTGAGAAGGCGCACAACGTGATCAACTCAAGCTTTCTCTCTCTGGCGAGGAAGTTGGATCTGTGCAGCCTATGCTCCGGCGGCGCTTTCTCCGTTTTTCTTTTGTTGCCAGATGCTCAAATGGGAGAGAACTGAGAACACCTCGTTTCTGTAGTGGATTACAATATGACCCATGCTTTGATTTTGTCTGTTTCTTTATCATATTTGCAATGTTATTCTGAATGATACATCTTCTCAGATGTTATTGTTTGTTTGTTATTTTTTGATGTAAGAAGAGCAAGAGAAGCTGGAGAAGAAACTGAAAATTAGAAGGAAAAAAAAAACAGGGTACCCGTTGGACCCGTAGGAACCGGCCCGTTTTATACGGGCCGGGTTAGGTCCGGTTCTCAGTTTGAAAATAGTAGAATCCGCCCCGGCCCGGCTCGTTGTATTTTCAAGCGGGTCCGGTCCGGTCCCTTCAATTTTGGGCCCGGCCCGGCCCGTGCCCACCCCTAGTTTCAACACATCAGTTGGAAGCATATTTATAGGGAATCTAATTTTGTGGTGGACACATTAGCTCATTTGGGCCTCAGTGTTGCCAGCCTTTATTTTTGGGATTATTGTCTTCCGTTTTCGGCTATAAAGGCCTTTAATTTTGTTTGTATTGAAAACGGTTGTATTAAAGATTTTAAGCTTTAATAAATTTCTTCTTTATCAAAAAAAAAAAATGAAACCTTACAAAATCTATGACATTGTGAACACCTACGGATTTGCATGGACTCTTTTTAATCCTAATTGACTACATTTGGATTTGGATGAAATTTTTTAAAATCCTGTTAAATCCTACTTTGACTACAACATGATTTCAAAGTCTTTTAACACTCTATTGACTACACCCTGATTAGAAACTTAATTTGACTACACCTCCTAAGATTATATTAAAAAGTCTAGTAAGTCTTTTATAGTAATTGTACATATCAGTGTAAGTATTATTTTTCATTAAATGAAACTAAAGGGTGTCCAGAGTAAAAGGTTGGTGTATACATAATTAATTAAAAATTTAATCATTACAGAGTGATTCAGTGGTTAGAGACGAATTTCACGTTTGTAATCCACACAACACATCATGGGTTCGATTCCTAGTACTGGTGAATAACACGATGATGGTCAGGAAAGGGTTGAAATGCCTCTGTGAGTATTTCCGACCCTGAAAAAATGAAATGCCGTGACGAAGCCATTATCTGTCCCCTTTTCAAAAAATAGAAAAGCTACCTTCTCCTTTTACCTTTCCCAACTTGCCTTCCCCATTCATTAGTTGACATGTGAACTCTACCACTAGTTAAAACTCAATAATTAATGTGTTAAAATATTAATTATTTAGTTCCAATTTTTAACTTGCACTCAATACTTTCTTTAAATTATATAATTTCCACCGGAGCCGTCCTCCTTCCTAGGGATGACCAATTATAATCGTTAAAACTAATAACTATGGAAAACCGTCTGAATGTATTGAATTTGGGTATGAAAATTCGAGTATATTTTGGTTATGGGAAAAAACCGTAAATAATATTTGGTTATGGTTTTGGATATGGTTATAGCCATCCTCCTCTTAAATCTTACTACCAAGGCGGACTTACAAGTGAATTAGCTAGCAACCAATTCAGTTGTAAATAATTCTATTCTTCACATCAACCTTACGGTGTTGAAACTTAGAGGTTTCGTATTTTTGTAACATATGGAGAACTTGCTCAACCATCAAAGGGGATCAAAGGAAGGAGTTTTCAAGGTGCAATTCAAGGAGAAGATCAAGCCCTTCCTCTAGGGTGATACACTTTTTCAAAACGAAAGTAGTAGTGCTTCAAGCTATTGAATCCAAATCTCTATGTTTTGTCTTTAGGGTGAACCCGCGTGCTTAGCCATCAACCGGCCTTTTCTTGGCGAAGCCCACTATCGTCACCACCACCAAAGTGAAGCATGCGATCCCAAAAAATTGTACTTCAATTTTTTTGTAGCATGTTCCAATGTCAATGAGCGGCCCTCTATATTATGAACTTACTTCTATGATTGTTTTTCCAAATTCAAATGTTTGATCGAAAAAATTGTAATTGACCGTCGTTCCATTTTGTGAACAATGGCAACACAATGGTTGGATTGTCATAAAGTTTAAATAGAGGTATTTGAACTTTAAACTTGGAAAAAAAAAAGATTTAATTAAAATTTGGTGTTAGATTACATATTTATTTAGTTTGTTTTTTTTAGTACGTACAACGATATATTTTACACTAAAGGGAGGGGAGAGTTTGGCTAAGCCGCACAATGGGCAATCTAATTTGGTATCGAATTCGCCATCAACGAGATTCGAACCTAAAACCTCTTACTTATAAGTGAAGAAGTACCACTAGACCGTAGTACTGAGTGACATATTTATTTAGTTATTAGATGTGTACTTTTAATTCAAATTCAAATTCATATTCTATTTTTGTTTTAATGTTTAGAGATTATATTCACACACCCCAAATTACTTCTTCCACACCTTTTTTAATTTTTTTAATATTTTCTACACACCACTAACACTTGATGGAAAAATATTAAAAAATTAAAAAGGTGTGGGAGAAGTAATTTGGGGTGTGTGAATATAATCACCCTAATGTTTAATGTGTATAATATTCAACATCTCCCATTAAATATTTGAATTTGTTAATATACATATTTGAATTTATTAATTTTATTTAACTTCCTCCAATTATATCCTTATAAATGTACCTAAATGAGAAAACATTGAAAAAATAAAATAATGACACATAAGAAACATGTAAATATATAAGTGTACCGAAAATATACTAAAAGGAATTGATGTACCTAAATGTCTGTATTGAAATATAAGATGTACTTAAATGTCTGTACCGAAATGTAACATATTAAATTAAGGTACTTAAATATCTGTACGGAAATGACTATACTAAAATATATTAAATGAATTAATATACCTTGGTTATGTCACTTTCTAGGTTAAGCTGCAGGCCAGGCTCCAATAAAGGGCCTCCACCTCCTCCTACATTCAAATATATAAAATAAAAATGATCATATAAAATGTGAAATATTTGATAGGATCCATTTTGGAAACGTAGAATACCGAAAATATATTAAAATGAATTGATGTATCTAAATGTCTATACTGAAATATAAGATGTATCTAAATATCTGTATCGAAATGTATTATAATAAATTAATGTACCTGAATGTCTATACCAAAATGACTATACTAAAATATATTAAATGAATTAATCTAAATAAATGCAGAACTCAAAGTGTATTGAAATATAGTTTACTAAATAACTATAACAAAATAAAATATCAAAATATAATTAAATGTAGAAGAAAAAGAAAAAGAATATAATTATGAGGTTACTAAATGTATCAACGGACTAAATTTGATTTTAATCTTATACAAGATTTTAGTTTAAAAGTTATATTTTTGAAGGATTAGAATGCAATTTTGTATTTTAAATGTTACTGTTGGTACTATGTGTGACTTGCAGAAAACTTATGTGTGTGAACTTGAAGTTTGTAGACTTTTGATCAAAGATTGTAGGGTTGAGGACCCTAGGGACACTGCTTTAACCAAATGGTTGACTTCTCCATAGCATCCTAGCATGTCATAGCCAACATATACAATTCAGATTTGACAAATATTCGACTTAACCGTGATCACACAAACAATAGGATACGAAAAGGTACGAAAAGTGAGAGGGTAGAGAATCTGCCTCCAGTTAGAAATGGCTATATTAGTTGACGTAAATTTAAATTATAACTTAATTTTCATGGCAATTATTTAGCACTTTGGCATGGGGATCTATGCCAACTCCTAAATTAACAATATTTTCTTGTATTATAATATTGATCAAGTGATGTTCTGCATAAAGAAAACCTCACAGCAAGACTAAGGAGAAAGGCCAACGTAGTATTAAAAAAGACTAAAGGCGATGAAATTGTACTGATTGTATTAGCCATGGTCTAAAATATCGATATTATCGACGATATTTCGCCGATAATATCGTTTTTGTGAGATGGCGATATTTTTACACTTATCCACTTAATTATCGTCAATATATTGTGATATTATCAATAATATCGATAATATAGAGATATTATAGATAATATCGCGATATTTTAGGACTGGTGCGAATCGGAGAAGAACGCCGGAGCTTCTACAGCTTCGGCCGACTGTAAAAGAGCACCGTAAACTCCGATCTAGGTATCAAAATGAAACACAAGATGAGAGGAATGTTTTTATTCCTTCCGTTTGCCGTGAAATGGTTCGAGGTGTTCGAAAAGTTCCTCGACACTCACGACCTCGCCGGAGCTAGGTGTGTATTCCCCGGGTCGATCTCGTTCTAAAACCTTGTTAAAAAAATGAGATAAAACTTAGTATATCTCAACCACACAACATCCAAGATGAATTGAGGTAAGCCCGGGGCTTACCTAACCGGAGAAGGATCAAGAGAACTCACCGGAGAGTTCCTGGGTTCCACTATCCTAGCTGCACCGAGAGAAATGGAGAGAAATACGAGGTTTAGATGGTGATAATGATGCCGTTGACGGAGTACTACAAAGGGTGTGCGGTGACTGAGTGTGTGTGTGTGTTCGACGGGAAGATGAGAGAACACAGAGAGACTAGGGGAAGAAGAGGAAAAGGAAGGGAGTGTGAGGGAGGGAAAGAGAAGAGAGAGAGAGAGAGAGAGAGATAGGCTTGGACCCGGGGAACAACAAACAAAGGTGGGCCCCGTGGCACACCTATTAAGACCCAAAAACAATTTTAAAAGTAAAATAAACTTAAACTTAGTTAAAATACAATTTAAATTGGGGGTGAGTGTAACAATCTACCATGCAATGTATTAAGTGTAAAATATATAATGAATTAGTACAATTCATTATATATGCAATGTATAGAGTTCCTATGAGGTTCAAAATATTGTACTAATTCATTATATATAAATAATTATTGTGTGTTTAAACTTCTTTCATTAATTACTACATATTTTCTACACTCACAATATTTGCCAGCTCGCTATATAATCAACTTCAATCAGTTAAATTCATCATGCAATGCATTTCCTTCCAATTTTTTGTGATAAACTAATAGATAATTGACTAAATAAACATCTTGCAAAGTTTCAATAAAGATTTCCAAGTTTTTTTTTACAATTTCCGTGGTTTTTATTCAATTTTTATCGATATCGATAATATCCCGATATTTCCATCGAAATTTCCGTGTTTTTGGACTACCGTTATTTTCGATATCATCGATATTTTAAACCTTTGTATTAGCTATGAAAATAATTTTATTTTATTCTACTATGTTAGAGTTTGAATCTGAATCAAGTAACCACTTGATCAGTAAGCCTTTTAAGTTGATCTGTAAGCCTTTGTTAGCTATCCACTAATTACTGAATTTTAAGTTAATGTATCAATAATCAGCCTAATGTTGTTTTTTACTGGTTTAGTTTTTCAGTTACGCTTTTAATTAAGTTGTTCCAATTGTGTATATATCGAAACTTGGATGTTTATGTGCGCTTGTGCATCTACCCAGATAATTACTGGGAGTGATTCAATTGTGTCATCAATTTCTTTCTGTCAAATGTTATGAAATCCTTATTGGATTCATTTATTTAATCGAGTGAGATGATTTAATACTGGTAATGTATGTTTAGGATCATAACTGAGTCAACAAATAACTCATGAATTAAAAACTCAAAGGCTACCATACTATGAAATACCTTGTCAAATACTTAATATAAGTAAGCAAATTATACATTAATATCATTCAGTCTGAGTGGCACTCAGTCTCGATATTGTTAGATGTCCTGAGCTTACATGTTCATGGATGACAATGGTCAATTAATTGAAAGAAAAGGTAAGAACATGACACTTTTAGGGGCACCATTAGTATCATCCGCAACTTGCAAGGTTATAAGGTTGACACTCGCTTTATGCTAAAATCGCTTTTACAAATACATTTTACCAAACACCTAACGCATGTTAATCTCTCCATTGCCCCAAATATGTTCTTCATATTTCAAACACAAAATGTGAAAATTGAAGTAAAATTGAAATGATTATCAACATGTGCTTAGAGATTATTTGTGTAAAATTAAGCTTAATCATATTTCATCAATGTGGAGGGCAAGGGCAAGTAATTATTCACTCTAAAAAGTAATTCCCTTTGTGCAAGTCCGCCTATTTGGAAGAAGGAATAGTAAGGACAAGGGCATTACTATTCACAAATATATATATATATATATATATATATATATAAAAGAAAAACTAACGAAAAGTCCAAAAACATTTTTTTTTTAATGGAAAGTCATTTTTAAAGGTATAGTGAATAGTACCAAAGAAAGATATAAATGTGGTTTTTCGTTAAAAGTGAACAGTACCAAGAATGTTTTATTAAAACTCCCATATATATATTTTAATGTTTCTTCGCCTTATTCCCACATGTCATTATCCCCGTAGATTTTTGTTTAATTTGTAAATGTTTTGAACTTTGTAAGATTTTTGAAGTGTTAACTTTTTAAGTTTTTTAAATTTTCTAATAATTTTTCTAGTAGGTAACTTTTTAGATTTTTATTTATTTTTAGGGCTGGATTAGTCCTAGCTGTTGAAATTTTTAATTTTTAAAATTTGCCGCGACAAAGCGCCACGTGGTGCAGCCCTAAATTTTTATTTTTTTAACCGTTGGAATCCAACGGCTGTTGTTGCCTCAAATTCGAGTCGTTTGGCTCCGTTGCCCCCCACCCCACCTGTCTGCTACATTTCCTGGTGCAAGCCCCTGCAACAATTGGCAGGGCAGCTGCTTTTCTGCCAATTGCCCCTTGTTTTTCAAACCGCTGGAATTGATTTCAAAGCCCATGGGCAGTTTCACCCAATTCACAAGACAATCCCACCGCTGGTGGAGATTCTCTTATAAAAAAGGTAGTGGTGGACGTTGGAACCGAAAATTGAAACCGAAACATGAATTAAATCGGACCACACCGAACAGTTTTGAAACGGTTGCAGTTTTGAAATTACAACGCAGTGTACGAAAACGGTTTGATTTCGATTTCGACTTTTGAAAACCACACCAAAGCTCAAACCACACCTCAAATTAAATATTATGTTTTAATTGGTTGTTTGGTAAAATTCATACATTTAGTATGGACTCAACCACATTAGAATATCATCTTTCTTTAGTCTTCGACAGTCTGCTCAAAGGCAGCTCTCGCCTCTCGGTTTCAATTCTTATCACTCATCAGTCTCTCTCTCTCTCTCTCTCTCTTCTGATTCATCTGTTTTGGCAATTGACCATTTCAACTTTATAATGTTGTTGATTGCTGATAACGAGCATTTCGTATTTTGGTGATTGCATTTTAGTAACTGTGATGTGTAAGTTTATGATCCAAAACCCATTGATGACATTAGTAGAATGCATCAATGCAAGCTCTATAGAATTATTTTGTTGTGGATGGCAGGATGTGAATTTTGAATGCAAAGTGCAAATTGTATAAAATGCAGGATGATAAGTATTTTCTTGTAGCAGCTTTGGATTATATTAAATGAACATCTTTGGTTCAAATTCTTGTACATCATAAATATCTTGCTATGGCTTCATCATTGAGTTGGCTTGGGACATCATCTTCGGATAGGGTCATATGGTCAATTTAGTGTCGGCTAGCACATTACAGTCTCGTAACTTGTATTATTGAGGTCGGAGTGTGTCACTTATGCAACGTTAAATCTTGACGTCACATAGATCAAATGATGATAAATGTGCTTAAGTTATAAATCTAATCAAATGGAGCTGCATTTTGTTCATTCTCAGGAGCTGCATTCCCTTCCCCAGACGGAGCCGACTGCATCCACAGAAACCCAACTCCTCGAAGATCCCCAAATGCATCCCTTTCCAAACCTACCTAAGTCCACCCCACTTTATTCTTATCCCTTTCCCATCCCAGATAATCTTTCTACTTTCTCTATCCTCTAATCTCTTGTTTGACTCCTGACTTTCACTCTTTTTCACTCCTCTTCCTTCTATTCCATTGATTAAAACTTTTTTTCTTTTGCAATTTTTTTTATCAAGATCCTTAGGTTTTAATAAACGTCATTATTTCATTAATAAAATGTTTACATATCAGCATAATTAAATTTTATTTCTAACATATATTCATTTAGTGTTAAAGACGTTACATTCGGTAAACTTATATTCATGGCTAAACTTTATATCAAATATTTATATTTTTAATTTGTGCCCAATTTTAATTTGCAACCCCTTTTTTTTAAATTTTTACTAATTTTCTTTTTAGTTTTAATTGGACCCATATATTAATTTATTTTTGTGCCCATATTTTTTAAAACTTCATTTGTACTCATATTTTTTTAATCTTATATTTGTACCAATAATTTACTTATAATGTACCCATTCTTCTTTATAAACTTACCACTTTGTTATATGTAAAATGTGCCAAATTTTTTTGTGAAATTTTATATTTAAAATGTACCAAGTTTTAACACTATGGATACATTCTTTTGCCATTTCTTATTTTGTATTGTTACATTGTTTTTATCCATTTATTCAATCAATTTTATTGAAATTTTTGTATTGTAGCCGTTTCTAATAGTAATAAATGAAGGATTTTAAATCTGAGATTTATATGCCATACACACACACACACACACACACACACACACACACACACACACACATACACACATGCATACACAGGAAATATGCGATTATAAATATCATAAAATGTCAAATAATTAATGTCAAACATATAGAAATATTACAGATTAATAGTAATTTCATGAGGTGTACCAAGTTAGGGGACTTTGATAAAAATTTGAATATAATTAAGGTTTTAGACAAATAGTGTCAGTGACTAGGGACTGGATCCAAGTCTCCCTTAATTCAATTTCCAATTCATATTTTGTTTTGTTTTAATATTCAATGTGTATAATATTCAATGTCTCCTATCAAATATTTGAATTTATTAATATACACATTTTAATTTATTAATTTTGTTTAACTTGCTCCAATTATATCCTTATAATGTACCCAAATGAGAAAACATTAAAAAAAAGGACACGTAAGAAACATGTAAATACATTAGTGTACCAAAAATATTTTTAAAATTAATGAATTGATGTACCTAAATCATGGATGGAGCCAATGAAGGCCCACTAGGGGTAGATGCCCCTACTCAAGTAATTCGTTGGTTAAGCTGCATACTGCAATTATATATATCCATGTGTTATCTTTGAAGAAAATATATGTGCCTAATATCAAGCATATATACCATACTACTTCTACTCTATATCAAATATAATATGAGCAAAAGTGCTTTTGTTCTGTCATTCAAACAGAAAAAACCCCTCATTTGCCTGTCATGTATTAATATTTTTCTCATCAATTTGCCACTTTCAACTACTACTAATTTTTTTGTAACATTGCAATTGCGATACATTGTCATATGAAATCATCTCCAATATCATATTTGGTATAAGCCATACTATAATAAGGTATTCTTAGTTGTTTTTCAGGTTGCCCCCACTAGAAGAAATCTAGTTTTGTCCCTGACCTAAATGTTTGTACCGAAATATATTATATTGAATTAATGTACCTAAATGTTTGTACGAAAATGTTTGTGCTAAATGATATTATATTGAATTAATGTACTTAAATGCCTCCATCGAAATGGACATACCAAAATGTATTAATATACCTAAATGAATAACATGAAGTGTATTGGGATATTATATAAATGAAATTAGTTTACCTATGTCTGTAACAAAATCAAATATCAGAATATTATTTGCGGAACCCCCAGATGTTATTGGGATATTATTCCTTATTCTTATAATGGAGTGGCACTCGGCCTCACCAAGTTAAGTTTACATAATTGTTCTGATGTAGTTTGGTTTGAGGAACCCCCAGATGTTGTTTGGGAAGTTCTCAACCAAGATATGTTACTCCCTTGAGTTTATGAATATTAGCAATCGTATTCTATTCAAAAAAGAATATAATTAAATGTAGTTAATATTAACATTAGGAAAAAAAAACATGAAAATATAATTATGAGGTTATTAAATGTGTTAAGGGACTAAATTAGATTTTAATCTTAAGCTAGAATTTAGTTTAAAAGTCATATTTTTTAAGAACTAAAACACAACTAAAACACAGTTTTCTATTTTAAATATGTTATTGTTGGTGCTTTGTGTGACTTGCATAAACTTACATTTGTGAACGTGAAGTTTGTCGACTTCAGATCAAAGATTTTAGGGTTCCAAAGGGTTGACTTTCCCATCAGTGTTCACCGTAGCACGCTATCAATATCATAGCCAATGTATACGACTTAGACTTGACAGTTGTTCGACTTGAATCTCAACTTGACTGGTAAAGCAATAATTTGGGTTAAACAAAACGGGCAAATCTGCACAGACAGCTAAAAAACCGATAAAGAGCAGAGGAATGGAATAAAAACAAGGAAAAATCAAAAGACGTACCATATACCTTATCTCTCTATATTCCATTGCTTACATAACGCCGAAGCACAATTGGTTGGCATATGAAGCTGAACAAAATATGTTTGCCTTTTTTTTTTCTTTTCAAATAAAACCGAGCGACAAGAAGTTGAAATTGGCAGAAAATGAAATCAGGAAACACAGGAAAGCAACGAAATTGATTTTTCACTTTTAGAAGTAAAGCAAAGTAGATTAAGCTAAAGAAGGTTGCTGTGATGAAGAAACCAAAACGAGACAAGTGTGTAATTAGAAGATGGAGCGAATAATGAGAAAGGGATGGGAAGAAAAGCTCTCTTAGCAGAAGAGATGAGATAATGAATGCATGAGAGAGAGAACGTGGTACCATAGAGAAGCCCACGTTGTATGCAATTAAAAAAGACTAAGGTAAGAAAATGGCTGTATTAGTTGACGTCTTGAGAAATGTGACAAAGAACGTGGTACGATAGGGAAGCCCAATGTAGTATGCAATTGAAAAAGACTAAATGAGGACTTATTCTGGCAGGCATTTCCTACTTCCTAGGTAAGAAAATGGCTGATTAGTTGGCGTATTGAGAAATGTGAGAGAGAACGTGGTACCATAGAGAAGCCCAACGTTGGGAGAGATTTTTCAAACCATGAAACCTGGAAATCTGTACAAAAGTTCTGATTCCATCTCTCAAATTATGGAAAAAAATTTAATTGTGATGGGAATATGGTACATTACGTGTTTTTATGTAAGTAGTGGAAAATTTTAATTTTTATGTTATTAACCTTTTAATACACATAACTCACCATTTATATAAGAACACGTAGTATACCACCTCGTGTGACGGTCACACAGAAAAATCTTTCCAAATCATGAAAGGGTCATGGCTAAGTTACAAAAACTCCATTAAAAACTCCTCAACCAAACTCACTAACTCATAATCCACAAAATATATATACAATTATTCACAAATTTCCGATGGAAAAAATTTGAGGAAAAAAAGGTGTAGGGAGAAACCCACAGAAAAATTAATAATTTTGGAAAAGAGAGAGAGACAAATTCAAATTGTAGATTTACCCTGGACTTTTTTCAGTTTCAAAATTTAGATCTTGGGTTGTTTCTTTTGTTTACAGATTCAAATCTTGGGCTTGCCCAGTATAGTTCGATGGATATTTGAAAATTGACAACCACGGTTACCAATTCTTAGTGTGAGAGAGGAGAGCTGAGAATTTTGGAGAGAAGAGAGTAAGGCTTTTACAATGCTTTTGGCTTCATCGGGAATATGAAAGGGTGAAGAACAGCAAGTGGAGAGAAATATAATTTTAAATTACTATTTTCTTAAGTTATATTAACAGTGGGACTCAAGGAGCACTATCAATTATAGTCAGATACAAGTGTTGGGCAAGTCCGGCTAGACTCCCTTTTGGTGCAAGTCCCGCTAGCATTTGGGGCGAGTCCGGCTAGCATTCTCCTTGATCGGAAGTCTACGAACTTCAACTTCACAAACGTAAGTAATAAGGTATAAGTTTTTTTTTTTTTTTTTTGGAAAATGGGAATACATTACCTAGGCTAAGAAGTCAAACATACAAAGAAAGCCTACCGCGAGGCAAGCAAACAACATAGCAAAAGAGAACCCAGACAACATAGAGAGATAAAAGGAAGACATCAAAACCACACTACTCCATCACTCCCTCCACTGCCCATAAGCCATCAAGGAGGACAGGGTAAACCATCATTATGAAGTACAAAAACTAACGAAGATGGGGGTCCATTGACCCAAGAAACCTTGCACATCTCCACACACTACTTCGACGCTAAGAAGTCCGCCATCATGTTGGCTGATCTTGGAATCCAAGACCAGCGACAGTCCTGAAAAGACTCCCCTAACCGTCTAGTATGCAGTAAAGCAAGGTAAGCTTCCCAGCTGCCATTCTCAATCGAAGTCGACAGGGAAGTAATAGAGTCGTGAGAATCAGATTCAATAACAACCTGCTTGAGTCCCAAGTCTAGCCCAAATTCACATCCTTTAATAATTGCCACATGTCACATCCCGATCCGAGTCCACCACCGTAGCACGATATTGTCCGTTTTGGGCTTACCATTCCCTCACGGTTTTGTTTTTGGGAACTCGCGAGTAACTTCCTAGTGGGTCACTCATCCTGGGAGTACTCTGACCTCCTTTTCACTTAACTTCGGAGTTCCTACAAAATCCGAAGTCAGTGAGCTCCCAAAATGGACAATATCGTGCTACGGTGGTGGAACGGGCCCGGGAAGTAGTCCGTCTCGGGCCGAGATGTGACAAATGGTATTAGAGCCAATCCCTGGTCGAAAATATGCCGACGAGGACGTCGGGCCCATAAGAGGGGTGGATTGTAACATCCCACGTAGCCCAGGGGAGTGATCCTTAAATGTATATTCCCATCCCTACCTAGCACGAGGCCTTTTGGGAACTCACTGGCTTCGGGTTTTGTAGGAACTCCGAAGTTAAGCGAGAAGGAGGTCAGAGCACTCCCAGGATGGATGACCCACTGGGAAATTACTCGTGAGTTCCCAAAAACAAAACCGTGAGGGAATGGTAAATCCAAAGCGGACAATATCGTGCTACGGTGGTGGACCCAGACCGGGATGTGACACCACAGCTTCAGCAGCGCCCACCGAAGGAGCGCAAATAGCATGTCGTTTGGCGCCCACAAAAGAGCCTGCTACATCCCTAATGACAATCCCCAAAAAACCAGAGCTATTCTGAGCCGACCAACTAGCAACATTGACTTTGAAATAGGGCTCGGTATGAGGGAGCTAAGAGGATATTCTATCACAGAGTAGCGTAGTTCCAGGGCCTTGTGAAGGCTTCCGGACAACAGCAAAGAAAGCTCCAATGGATATATTTATATCACAAAGAACCTTGGAAAGATTAATAGAACTCTATGCATACAAGAAGTTACACCCAGCTTTCCAAATGTGCCAACAAGTGAAAGCAACATATGATAACAGATACATGCAGTCTTCATGAGAACCCACATGCAGATTGGAAATAGAAAAGAGCCATTTTATCCAATTTGAGAATTCATACCTGTTAATTCGAAGGTTTAGAATCCCCCCAAACTAGATGGCTTCCACCTATGGGCATTGCAAAAATAAGTGTTCAATGGACTCCACCTGAGTATGGCAAATTAGACAGGTCGGATGAGGAGCGGAACAACGCTTAAACAAAGCCTCCATCGTAGCCAAAACGTCATGGAAGGTCCGTCATAGAAAAAGTTTGATCTTTGGTGGAGTATGCAACTGCCAGATTAATTTCCAAACTCGGCTAGTATGACTAGTGGACGAAGCAGGATGAAACAAAGATTGGTTGCGATATTGAGAATGCAGCCAGTTGTATCCATATTTCACCGAGTACTAACAATTCTTAGTTGCCAGCCAAATAAGCCGATCATCTCTCCCCGGAAGTAATAAGGTATAAGTTACGTTATCAATACTTAGGTAATGATTCAATCATCTACAATCACATAATATAATTTATAAAATATGATTTAAATAGATAGTTTCTCTAACAATATGGTACATTAACACAAGGTGAATGTTCTTCATGAAGAAAACCTCACAATAAGGCCGAAGCTTCCTAAATGGTTCTTTTTCCCAACTTCGCAGTACTAAAATTTAGCACCTTAGGCCATCTCCAACCGAAGAAGGGCCAAAGGGCTCTCTTGAGCCTTATAGCCCTCCAAAAAATTAATATTTTAATAAACAGTGTCAAACCATTTTTCTTACCATCTCCAACCAAGGGGTCAGATGGTCATAGGCCAAACATAGTCCTTTGACAAAAAACCATCTTCAACCGAAGAGGCCAAGGAGTCATAAGGACAAATTTAATTTATTATTTTAATTGAATTACTATGGTTACTTAAATTAAATTACCTCAATAATTTTACGTTATGGATTGTCAATAATTTTTCGAGATGGGAAAATATTTAAATAATAAAAAACAATTTTTTCGATTGTATAATTTTTATATTGTTTAATGTTACTTAATGTTATTTAATGTTGTTTAATATTGTTTAATGGTGTTTCATGTTACTTAATGTTATTTAATGTTATTTAATGTTGTTTAATGGCTTAGGAAGTTCTAGGAAAAAAAATAGAACTAAATTTTTTTTTTTAAAAACGAAAAATATTTTTAAAAAAAAAAATTCAAATATGACGTCAACAAATGGCCCGGCACGGGGCTGGCTGGGTTAGGCCAGCTGGTTGGCCTTTTTCTCCTTTTTGGCCCAGTGGGGCCCACGAGCTCTTTGGCCTAACCCTCGGTTAGAGGCAGTTTTTGTGTCATTTCAGGCTATTTTCGGCCGTATGGCCCTCTGGCTGGATCGGTTGGAGATGGCCTTAGTTTTACTATATCTCCAAAAATTGTTTACCAACAACAGTAAAGTCTTTTCCCATTAAGTGGAGTCGGCTGTATGAATCCTAGAACGTCATTCCGCTCGGTTATGTGCCACGTTTTCCGTTAGATCCAAGTACTCTAAGTCTTTTCTTAGAGTCTCTTTCAAGGTCTTCATCTACTCTTTTGGCCCTGAACCTCTCTCGTAATCGCATCTTCTAACTAGAGCGTCAGTAGGCTTTCGTTTCAAATTTCCAAACTACCGTAACCGATTTTCTCTCATCTTTCCTTCAATTTCGACTACTTCTACTTTACCTCGGATATCCTTATTCCTAATCTTATCCTTTCTCGTGTGCCCACACATCCAACGAAGCATTCTCATCTCGGCTACAACCATTTTATGTACATGTTGATACTTCATTGCCCAACATTCGGTGCTATAAAGCATTGTTGGCCTTATTGTCGTCGTATAAAATTGTTTACCAAAAAAGAAAAAAGATGTCCGACATAGGCTCAAACACATTAGAATCTTAAAAGGATATTGCCGATGGACTTATATTCTTTAATTTGCCCAATAGTACACGCTTAACTCATTCAAGTATGGAAAAACTGGATCATCAGCTAGAGGGGAGTTCTCATTCCCTAAATGCATCAGCTCTGGCATTTCACGGAGCCGCGAAGTCTTTACATGTGGAAGGGTCCCAACTGCATGTACTTCCCGGCTAGTATTTCCTTCCTGGGCAAATATTTTCTTTCCAAGGTGCAGAACGCAAAAAGAGTGCTTCAAGCTTCTGTAATTTTTGAAGGAAAATAAATATCTTGGGGTGTGCTGCCGGAGAAAAAGTTAAAGATCGTAGTCTATTACTGAAGTCCACTGGCAATGGACCATACGGTTCATAGAAAATCTCTATGTTGTGGTCCAAGAAAC